GTGACCCCTGGAGGGAGGTGTGCAGGGGACACGGGGCTGGCTCCGGCAGCAGAGCGGGTTGGAAGCACCGTGTGCTGGGAGGTGACGTGGTGTTAATCTGCTTTTCACGGGCTCTGCTGAGGAACTGAGCAGCGAGTGCCGACACGTTGTGGGTTCTGAAGGGATCTTGGCACTGGGACCGGCGCTGGCTCTGGAGCTGCAGGCGGGAGCGTGGAGGGTGCAAGGCCTGGGGAGAAAAAAAAAACAAGGCAAAAGTTTCTATTTTTAGCTGCAGAGTGCAAATGCATGGAGCTGCTGAGGAATTAATCACCTGCCCCGAGAGATGAATGGCTGAGATTTCTCTCTAAGTGCAAGGCTTACGGGATGGGGCGGAGGGAACCGTGCCGGCTGTGTTGGCCACCCAGGCGTGTCCCGGGATGGGTGACAGGGATGCCGGGATGTCCCTGAGCCGGGTGCTGTGCCTGGGGAGATGCTGAGCCTCAAGGACCAGCTCCCTGGCAGCCACGCACCCATGTGTGGGAAAGCCTCAGGGTTTTAACGAGCAGATTTAATGCAGTGTCCTGCTGTTTTGGGCAGGTTTCCATATCAATGCTTAATCTATTTTTGCAGCCGCTGTTGGAGGTGGTGGTTATTTGTGTGTCTGCTACAGCCCCATCACAACTCATCCCATTTCCTCCTGGCACAGGAGCGTTCGTGCTCGCAGGGGCTCCCTGAGCGTTGCCAGGTGGGAATTTGGATCCAGGTCCTGCCTTGGCACAGGGCTGGGGTGCCCCAGCATCCCTTCAGCCAGTTTGCTGCTGCTGGGTTCCTCCTGGCTTCCTAAAATGAAGGATAACCCAGTCTATCACCTGCCCCCGAGCAGCAATGGGGACCCGGCAGCCACTGCCCCGGGTGACACTACAACCTAATGACATTTCTGGGTGGCTGCACTGTCAGTCCCACAGCTCATTACTGCCACTAATTAACTCGGCTGCTGCCCTGTGCCTGGTTTGATCTATAGTCACAATTTGTTCCCATTTTGGCAGGAATTCTCCCCCACTTGGCCGCAGGAGCTGCCTCCACGGCCCAGTAATGACATTTGAGGGGTTTCTTTTCCATGGTAAAAGTGGAGCCCCCGGCACAGGGGGGTGCTTGGGTGGGTGGGTGATGGTGGGTGCTCCTGAGCGGCTCCTGGAGCCAACACCCACCAGAGGCAGGGTGGGGGCTCCCCTGGTTGGAGCCCGAGTGGTGTCAGTGAGCAGCTCCCATTAGTCCACTTAATTGTGAAGCAAATTAATCCATGTATCCAATTTAACTTCTAAGGCTTTGCCTAATGAGTTAATGTGTGGAAGAGCTAGGGGAGGCCGGGTTATCTGCGATTCTGACCCTGGGAGGTGCTGCAGCCTTGGCTGGCGTGGGCTCAGGGACCTGCGGGCGGGCTGGGATGTGCCAGTGGCTCCCAGTGGGCTCCTCCAGGACTGTGGGGATGCTGCGGACCAGGGGAATGGCATTTCCCCATCCTGCAGCTGCCCCGGGAGCAGAGCAGGGCAGCAGCACCTTCATTTGGGAATGTTTGTTTCGGGGAATGTGGTTTTGCTCCATCACCTTCTCCTCTATCCTTTTGGCTTCCAAAGGGCTGCTCCTGGGCAGGGGGTGGGATCGTGCCAGGGCTGCAGCCAGCGGGGCCTTGGTGTGTCGATAATGCTGCTCTTAATTGAGGACCATCTGCACTTGGTAATTTAATTTTTCCTACATCTGCAAGGTTCCAACTTTGTTTATCTGACATCCTGAGGATTATTTAACTTCGGAGCCTCGTGTTCCTCCAGCCCAGGCACTCCAGGCATTCCACTGCAGCCCCTGCTAGACGAGATTTTAATAACACTGTCACTGCCCCAGGAAAAAGGACACGTTAAAATCTGGAATTGGGAAGGGCAACAGCAGAGCTGAGTTGCAGGGATGGTTTTCCTGCCTGAATTTGTGTGGCAGGAGGCTGCTGGGAGTGTTACCTCTGTTATAACAAACTGTGTGAGATGAGGAGCGAGCCCTGAGCACCACAAGCCCTCCCACTGCCCGCAGGGCTGGCAGCACATTTCACGTCTCAGTGCATTGACACGCGTCATCTTTTGTCTTTGGATGCTTATTAGTAGCTCAGCCCCCAGCTGTGCCTTGGAAAGGCTGTCAGGAGGGAATTGAGGCGGCTCCTTAAAAAAATAATAGTAATTGGAAGCTGGAAAGTCTTTTAGCTGTGGTATGGGGGGAGACTTGAGCATCTGGTTCATCTGAACCACACCAGTTTGTGCTGCTGGCAGCAGCTCCTGCCCTTTCCCACCCCAGCTCCTGCCTTTTCCCATCCTGCTCCTCCTACCTTCTGCTTGGCTTCTTCATCCGTGCTTTGCAGCCACCTTGTGCTTGGGGCAGGCAGGGGTCTCGGAATCCTGGAATGGTTTGGATTGGAAGAGACCTTATCCACCCCCCTGCCATGGGCAGGGACACCTTCCACCAGCCCAGGTTGCTCCAAGCCCCGTCCAACCTGGCCTTGGACACTTCCAGGGGTGGGGCAGCCACAGTTTCCCTTGGCAAATGTCTCTGGGATGCAGGCAGGGATGGCAGCAGAAGTGAAGCTCTGGCTGGCTCTGGCTGAGTCTCCTGCCTGCAGGAGCATTTCTGCAGCTCCTTGCCCTGGAAACCCGCTCTGTTCCACACCCAAGCCCCAGGAAATCCATTTTTTTCCCCAGCCTGGTCCATCAGCACCTGGATCCATGTGCAGACTGTAATTAGGTCTAAGCATTTCCCCCCCTAAAATGTAGGTCAGTCGTAATTAGTGTCACTCCTGCTGCTGTTGCTGGCTCTGTGTTAATTAACTCCTGAAGTGCAGGTCAACGCATGAAGGGCAGCTTTGGAGCTTCAGCTTTTTCGGCTGCTCACCAGATGCTTCAAGGTGGCTTTGGCTTGGATGGTCCATGCTGAGGGCTCGGGCCATGTTGTCCCTCCTGGTCACCCCTGGAGTGTGGCCACCCTGGGGACGTGGCCTGTCCCCGGGCACAGCCTCACTCTGCTCTGGGCTGCACGTGCTGCTGTTGCTGTGGGGAAGGGCACCTGTTTGGGGCTGGTTTCAACATGAAGCTCCTGATGTCCTTGTCCTCAGCCATCACACCAAGTGCCTTTTCCCCTGCAAGGTGCCTGTGCCGAGACCCAGGGTCGATGGGGAAGTGCGGAGTCTTTTCCTTCCTCTGCAGCCCCTGGCACAGCCCCTGGCACAGTCCCTTGTGGGTCTCTTCCAACCCAGCACAGTCTGTGATCCTGTGACCTGGGGTTTTGGAGGGCAAGGTGAGCTCATAGAGAGGAGCTTCTGCAGATTGTAAACCTGCCCTGTTTCAGCTGCAGAACAGGGGCTGGGCAGAGCTGTTCTCCCTCCTCTAGGATGAGGGTGAAGGTGCAGCTCGGACACAGCAGTGTTCACGTGGCACGTGGTCCCACCCTGGGGATGGCTCTTGTCTGGACTTGTCAGGCACCAGGGACCAGGAGGCACCTCGTGGCAGTGGGAACCCTGGGTTTTAGGCACTTCAAGCCTTCAGCAGCCATCCTGGGAAAGGCTCAGCTCCGTGTTTGGGGAGTCCCAAGCCCCCAGCCAGCTCCTCAAGCCCCCGGCTGCTCCCCGAGCACTTTCCAGCTCCCCCACCCCACACCCTGGCTGCCTATTTTTACCGCTCCTGGGCTGTGAATCACTTTGCTCCCCCGTCTCAGTTGCTGCCTTTGAAGGTATTTATAAACCTCGACCGTCTCCCCTGCGCCTGCCTGAGCAGACGGTGGATGCAGCGCTCCGGCTCCTCCTGCCCTCTCCTCGCCCGTACCCGAGTGTAGGTGTGCAGGAAACGAGGTGCTCCCTCAGTGAAGAGCCTCCCCAGCACTGTCCTGGCGGGGTGAGGCCAGGCACCAGCATCCCGAGGGTCCTTGGTGCCGAGCAGTGTGGGATGAGCAGGGATGGATCTCGGCGTGTGCCTGGGAAGGGTTTGGTGGCACTGGAGCTGGTGGCGTGTGCGGTGCTGGAGGTGGCTGAGCCAGGGCTGAGCTGGGGGAGCCCAGCCCAGGGTCGGGGCAGCCTTGGCCATCCCATGTCCTGGGGAGAGGGGAGCACCCCATGCCAGTTCTGGAGGAAAAGGGACTCAAATCATCACTAGAGCAGCGACTGGCTGCCTCATCCCACTGGTGTGCAGTTCCTTGGCCGTGTTTCCAGCACGTTCCAATGATTACTGTGGTAATTTCTGTGCATCTGGCAGGCAAATTAATCTCTGCTCCTTCGCCTGGGACCGCTGGTCTGTAGGATTGTGCTTGGTTCGTGTTTGGAGAGCCTAGTGTGGCTCACTGGCTTGGTGGTTGCTCTGGGACACGGTCAGGATGTGTCCCCTGCCCTCACTGTCCAGCACAGCTGCCTGGAGGGGCACCAATGGGCTCCCCATGCTGTTCCCAGCTCTGCCAGGGCATCCTTCCACAGAAAGTATGCTGTTGTTTTGGGGAAAACCCAGTGTGCCCCCTCTCCTCCTCCTTTCCACCTTTCCTAAGACCAAGAAAAGCTGGGGAAAAAAAAAAAAAGACAGAGAGAAACCAGGAGAAAAACAGGTATGAGAGGCAGGAGGAGGAGTTATTCTTAATTTGCTGTCTGGACATGGAGTGGTTGGCTCTGTCTTTTGCAGGCTGTTGAGGTGGGATGCTGGTGCTCATTAATTTATGGCCAGAGGTCTCCAGCCTGAGCCACTCATGGTTTCAGTACCCAAATAGCCACCAGGCTTTAGGTACCCAAATAGATGCAGCCTGTGCTGAAACAGGGAGGGCTGGGCCATGGTGCAAATGGCTCTGCAGGCACTAGGGCTGAGTGTGCAAGTTTAAAAAGCAGGAGAGGGATCAGCCCAAGGGTTTGATGAATGCTGTCCAGGATGGGGGGCCGGGTGTTTGTGTGTCTCCCTGGGGCCCTGAGTGAACCAGAGCCACGCTCAACCCTCCCCACCCTTTCTGTTTTCTTTCAGAACAAGGTGCTGACGGTGGATGGGGTGAAGGTGAAGCTGCAGGTACGTCCCATGGCCCTGGGAGCAGCTCCCTCACCCCCAGGTGTTTGGAGCTGGGCAAAGCCTTGGCAGAGGAGCACCCCCAACATGGGTCCCCCTTCTCCAGCCTTTGTCTCCTGCTGCAGGACAGCCCTGCAGCCCTTCTGGCTGCTCTGTCCCTTTGGTGGGAGCCTGCTCGGGGCTGGGGGCTGTTCTGGCCTCGGTGATCCCTGTCCCAGCCCCGCTGCCTCCCTGACTGCAACTGGAGCCGGTGAAACCGGAGCAGCACCTGAGGGGTTTGCTCAGCTTTTTCCAGGTAGCTCCTGCTTTGGCAGAGCCAAAGGATGGTGATCCTTGGAGGGATCCACGTTCCCTGGCTCAGCCAGCATCCAGCCCTTGAGAAATGTAGATTTTGTGTCCAGAGCTGCTCCAGCCCCCGAGACCTGACCGTTTGCCCGGAGCTCGGTAACAGCATTAGCATGGATCCTCCCCAGCAGCAGCGTGGCACTCTGCAAACCTCCTGCTGCATTAAAGACTGATAAATCACATTAGCAGGTCCCCATGCATCCATCTGATCCATGGATTTTCCGATTAAGGGCCATGTCAGGAGCCCTTGGCCACGCACAGTCGTGTCCCCGCGCTGAGAAGTGGGGAGGAGCTGCTCCCATATTAATTGCTCTTGTCATTTTTCCTGTTGATGTCCCTGGAAGCAAAAGCTGGAGGAGCTTCCTGGGGTTGCACCGTGCTGTTTGGGCTGGTTTAGGTGGGTCTTGGTCACGTCTGATCCCTCTGCTCCTGTCTGCATTCCAGATCTGGGACACGGCCGGGCAGGAGCGCTTCCGCAGCGTCACCCACGCCTACTACCGGGATGCCCACGGTAAGCACGGCCACCTCTGCTTTTGGGGGAGCCCCTGGAGCTGCCTCTGCAGGCCAGGTGAGCCGGGAATCAGCGGAGCAGTTTCCCCGTGGGAAGCAGCCCCCAGGACGGAGGAGGCTCTGTGTGCCGACACCAGCAGCGTGAGGTGTTGCTGTGGGGGATTTTAGTGTTGTTTTACATTTCCCAGCAGGGAGCTCCTGTCCCCAGGGGTGACTTAGCACAGGCACCGGTGCAGAGCGTGCTCTGAGCCAGCACTAATGCCCCATCCCTCTCTCCACAGCTCTGCTCCTGCTCTACGATGTCACCAACAAAGCGTCCTTCGACAACATCCAGGTATGGCAGCACCCCTGCTTTGGTCAATTAACCCTGGGTAATTACAGCACTGGCACAGAACTTGCTGCAGTAGCTGAGCATGGGCAGCTTTCCCCAGCAAGCTGTTCCCTTCTTCCCATCTGCTCCTTGGGGTCCCAACACGCTGGGATTGGGGACCTCATTGCCCCCCACCTTAGTGCCAAACCTGGCAGGGAGAGGGTCACATCCTGCACATCCCCAGCCCACCTGCCCTTCCTGACTGATGACTTTTGTGGGGGTCCCTTGTGCTGCCTGGGTTTGCCCCCTCCCCACAACCCCAGCCCCCCAGCTGACCCCTGTACCCCCTGCAGGTCCTCCAGGGGTGCTGGGGAGCAGTGTTGGAGCAGAGGGCTCTTAAACCTGGCAGAGGGGAGAGCAAATGCTGCCCCTGGGCACATCGCTGTGGGGGTTCAGGAGCACCCAGGCACTCAGTGTCTCCCCCCTTTGCCCCACCAGTCCCCAGGGGCTGCTGGGGGCCACCTGTGCCAGCACTGGCAAAGAGGGATGGAGCAGGAGTGGAGTCAGAAGGGAGCTGAGGGGGGTAGTCGGGAGTGAGTGAGTCCCCTGGACCTGCCCCCCATGGGACTGAGTGCCCTGAGCCCCAGCTCCCACGTACTGTCAGTGACAAGCCCTGATCCCGAATCATCCCTCGCTTCCCTGGCTGGGTGCTGATGCAGGACACTGCTGGGCTCGGAGATGGTGGAGCAGGGATTGCTGGGGATCACCGGCACTTGTGTGAGCGCAGTGTCAGTGCTGGAGGCAGCGAGCGGCTGTTCACACCACAGGGTCAGGGATTGCAGGGAATTAGGGCAGGTTTGATTAGATTAGGCTGGATTAGAAGGCAGAGAAGCCACCCCACGGCTCAGGGAGGCAGGTTCAGGGGCCTGCTGGGATGAGTGTGCTCGGCATGGGGGCAGCACGAGCAGGACACAGGCACGGGGCACATCCCAGAGCCAACCCTTGGCCTTGCCCTCGGAAAGGAGGCTTAGTCTGAACATCCCAACTAAGGGGAAACTGGGGTTAAATTCCTAGAGGCACCTGTGGGCAAGACAGAGCAGGCAGTGGGGTCGAAAGGCTGCTGTTACCCTTGGAAAGGGGGCTGTGGTAGCAGCCAGAGCAGGTGCTGGGTTTGCTTGGCACAGTGGGTCTCTCATCCACGGAACACCCCCGGCATTGCTCGGGATGGCAGCATTTCCCACAGGGGTGTCCATGCCCAGGACTGGGGCAGCTCCCCCTTCTCCTCCTCCTCCCCCTGGGCCTGTTGGCAACCCCTCTCTCTGGCTGTCTCCCTCCAGGCTTGGCTGACAGAGATCAATGAATATGCACAGCAGGACGTGGTCCTCATGTTACTGGGAAATAAGGTGAGCCCGGCCCCACTTTGCCAGAGCCTCCTCTTCCTCCCACGGTGGAGCCACGGGCAGGGGAGCCTGGCAGGGCATCAGGGGATGTGGAGGTTACCTACGGGTGACCTTCCAAATCACCCCAAATTGCTCTTTGCTGTTCCCACTGCAGGTGGATTCAGCCCAGGACAGAGTGGTGAAAAGGGAAGATGGAGAGAAGCTTGCCAAGGTAGGTGAGGTACCTGAGGATGTGCACCAGGAAACGGTCACCTGGAGACCAGTCTGACCCAAAATATGCCTGGAAGCACTTTGCTTTTCTTCCCTTGTTGTGCTTTCCCCTTCCTCCTCATCTTCTTCCTCTAAGCTTCCACTAACATTTCTTGTTTCTTTATCCTCAAAAATCATTCTCCAAGTTACCTGAGCTGTGATCCCTGGCTCAGTTTTCCCTGCCCACTGTGGGAGGGTTGAGCTCCCTAGGCAGGCACTGACACCGGCCAGAGCCTGGGAGCCCCTGGGAACATCCAGGTGACATTCCTGGTGCTGCTGTGTGTCCTCCCACAGGAGTACGGGGTGCCCTTCATGGAGACCAGCGCAAAAAGTGGCCTCAACGTGGAATTGGCGTTCACAGCCATTGCAAAGTAAGTGACTGGAGCAGCAGCTGTGCTGGGCACCTCTCCTGCAGGGACACAGCAGCCCTTGGGAGAATGGCTGGCACTGTCACCCACCTCTTCATGCTGCGGGTCCCGCCTTTAGTTCTTGTGCTGGCAGAACTTGCCCTCTCACAGGAGATGTGAAATGTCCCATCAGGGGGAGCTTTAACAAAGTGTCCAGGCCGAGTTCAACTGAGCTGGGCCAGCTTGGAATCAGAATCCTGGAATGGTTTGGGTTGGAAGGGACCTTAAAGACTATCCAGTCCTGCCCCCTGCCATGGGCAGGGACACCTTCCACCAGCCCAGGTTGCTCCAAGCCCCGTCCAACCTGGCCTTGGACACTTCCAGGGATCCAGGGGCAGCCACAGCTTCTCTGGGCAACCTGTGCCAGGGCCTGCCCACCCTCATAGGGAACAATTTCTTCCCAGTATCCCATCTAACCCTGCCCTCTGGCACTGGGAAGCCATTCGCCCTTGTCCTGTCCCTCCAGGCCCTCGCCTAAGTCCCTCTGCAGCTTCTTCCACACCAAATCCTTTCTCCCAGAAGCACAGGAGCACTGTGTTTCCCCTTCCCACAGGGAGCTGAAGCACAGGTCCATGAAGTTGCCCAACGAGCCCAAATTCAAGCTCCACGACTACGTGAAGAAGGAAGTGCGAGGCTCGGGCTGCTGCAGGTCCTAACGTGTCTGTACAGAGACTCTGGCCGTGCCGCGCTCCCGCGGGCAGGGTGTGCATGTCTGTCTGTGTGTCTGTGTCTGCCCCCGAGGTGAGCTGGAACAGCAGCAGGAGGAGCTCTCTGGGACGCTGCTGCCCGAGCCCCAGCGCAGCCATCGGCGCCGAGAGCACTGGGCTCTGTCCCGCCGCTGCTCCCGCCTGGCAGGGGCTGTTTGGGAAGGGGCTGGGCTGGGGTCTCCTCCCGGGGCCAGCTGTGCCCGCTCTGTGAGGCTGCTGTCACCATAGTGAGAGTCGTGCTGTGACGCAGGGGAACCAACACCTTCTCCCACCTGAATTCCCCCTTCTTTCCCTGCCTACCTGGAATTCAGCCCCTGGCCTGGGGCGTGCAGGAAGGATGTGTTTTAAGGCAACCGTTTTTGCAGTTGCTTTTCCCTGTCTGTGCATCCCTGTGAGGTGGGACACGCCTCCAAGGGTGAGGGATTCTCCTGTTCCATGCAAACACAGAGCTTGGCTGTCTGTCTGGATGAGCTCCTGCATTCCTGGCTGTGTACAGAGATCCGTGAACGTTTATCCCTTTGGGAAAGGCTTTGGTTCTCCTCCTCCCGCCGTTTCTAGTCCTTTAATGGAGAAGAAATCTAATGTATCGCAGCTTATTCTAAATACCTTCCTGTAAGTGTGATGGCGTTTTCAGATGCAGCAACGCTTTGATATCTTCAAAGTTCTCCTGGGCAGCTCTTTCTTTTCACCGCAGAGAGCTGGGGGGAAGCTGCAGGCAGTGATTTTACAGGCTGCAGACTCCTGCCAGCTCTCTTCAAGGGCCTCCTCACCCCTTTGGTCTGTGTTAGGCTTTTGGCTGTTTTTTTGTTAAGCTGCACTTCTAAGTACAAATCTGAATCTGGATGAAGTGTTTGGCCTTTGGCAGTTTTTTCCTTTGGAAACTCCATGCACACATCAGCAGGTGCCCGCCGTGCTGAGCCTCGTGGGCCACTTCACATGAAAGGAAGTAACCCATCTTTGCCCTCCAGCCACCACCCGCCCCCCCAGCAGCTGGCTCAGACAGCCCTGCCCCTCGTTTTGCTTGGAATTTTGGCTCCAGCACCCCCTTCCTGATGGGCACGAGGAGCCTCTGAGCTCCTCCATGAGCTGCAGCAACACGAGCAGCCACAGCTCCACAGGGTGAAAAAGGATCCTGAAATGAACCTACTGAGAACAGAGCATTTTTTTCCTTTTTTTTTTTTTTTTGGGAGAGACAAGTCTTAAAATTGTCTGATTTAAATTTTAAAGTAATCTGCGGAAAACCCGTTCCTGCAGGAACGTTTGCATTGCTGGCAAACCCTGCTGCCAGTCCCTCGGGAACAGGCAGGTGAGGGATGGCTGTCAGGGACCCCCTTGTCCCCCTCAGCATCCCACAGATCCAGGGGGATGGCCAGCACTGGCACAGCTGCTCCCACTGGAGCAGCAGCACCAGTCCATTCCTCAGCGAGCCTTTCCCTGAAATAACTGGAGCAACTCCCTTCATCTGAAAAGTGTCAATACCTGCTGCAGGTGCTCTCCAGATCTGTCTGCAGGTAGCAGAGCCCAGGGCAGGCTGTGAGAGGGGCTCAGGCCAGGAACTGTGCAGGAATATGTAGAACTGGCTGCTCCAGGTGCCTGGGTGGGTTTTGCTCTGCTCCTGCTGTACTGAGGTGTCCCCAGCCCTTCTTAGAATTCCACCGTGGGCTCTGCAGCATCCACTTGCTGCCTGAGGAAAAGAGTGGGATTTCAGAGAGTCCCTGAGCTTGCTGGGTCCCAGGGGTTTGGTTTTGTGTGGGGCAGGAACAGCCAGGCAGCTCTGAGCCTGTTTGCTCATCCTGCCCTGGGAGCAGCAGCAGCAGCTCCATCCCGAGGTGACAGGGATCTACCTAAAGACAAAATTTAGCAGCAGGATTCCTAACGGATTAGCATTCCTACCTTAGGCTGCTGCTTTCCCTCTCAGAGTGGCACCTCATTTTCTGAGAGACAAAGCCGAGAACTGATCACTTCCTGCTCACTGTGGGACCAAAACCAATTGGAAACCCCTATAAGTGAAGATGTTTCCCTTTGGAGCATTTCCAACCTGCCTGTGGGGACCAAACTCTGCCAGAGCAGAGCCCTCACCGCCGTGTTTGTGGGATCAGACCTAAGCTTTGAGCAGACAGCCCCATCTCTCCCCATCACCTGTTCCCAGTGTAGGACTGGTCTCCCAGTGCCTGCACAGTGGCCTGACCCCAGAGCTCCTCCTCACGTGGCCATTTGGGATTTTTCCACGGGCCTTTGCTGCCACCAGGCGATGCTGCAGGAGTTGCTCAGTGCAGCGTTAATTGCTCGGTGCGTCCAGTGTCACCTGCAGCTCCCATTTCTGCTGGCTCTTGTTTACAGCTTTCGGTTCATTCCTGTTAATAAAATTTTTTTATAATCTCCGTGGCTACAGCGATGTTTTGTCCAAACACAGCAACGCAGAGCACTCAAACAGTTCACCTGCCTTGAACCCATCTGGATCCACATGGCTGAGCCACCAGGGGATATGACCCACTTTAGATTGGATATTAGGGAAAACTTCCCCCCAAAAAAAGGTTTGTCCAGCCCTGGCACAGCTGCCCAGGGCAGTGGTGGAGTCCCCATCCCTGGAGGGGTTTAAAAGCCCTGTGGATGTGGCACATGGGGACACGGGTCAGTGGTGGCCTGGGCAGTGCTGGGGGAATGGTTGGATTTGATCTTAAAGGCCTTTTCCAACCTAAGTGACTCCAAGATTCCAATGAAAGGGAGCTGTGCTGAGCTGCAGTTTATTTCAGTACACCCTGGTTCCACTGGGTGCCCAAAAATAAAGCTTAAAGTCAGTCTGTGATTTTCACATGTCACCCATGGAATTTCTGAATAACAGAAACAAAAGCCAAACAAGTCGTTGAAAACTTTATTAACCTAGATAAAGCTAAAAAGTCGGTACAGCAGCAAAGAGTTTAATGACAAGGCTGGACTTGATCTGAGGCTGGGGAGAGAACATTGCTGTAATAATTTGTTATATTCCACACAACTAAGCAGAATTTAATTGAATTTAAATTCTCGATCTACACACCGTAGTTAAACGTGTAAATGCCTTCAGTTACCCACACTGCTGCATTGGGGGCATTCACCTGGAACTAACCCACGTGTGAAAGTCGATGATTTCTTGTCCTCCAGCCCATTCTGCAGCCGCATCTTCGCGCTTTAAGAGCCGCCCTGACCCCCCTGTTGTACAGCAGGGTTGTACAGCAGCGGTTCCTCCACTTACCACAGAGCACACCCGCGTCTGACCGGCTGAGAGCCCCGGGAGCAGCCGCGGTCCGGGCACGGAGGTCCCGCCGAGCCCTGAGGGGAGAAGGCAGCGCGTGAGGGGGGCCCTGACCGCCCGGCCCGGCCCCGCCGCGCCTCCCGCGGGCCTCAGCCCTGGCTGCTCAGCAGGGGCCGCGGCCGCCCGCCGCCCTCAGACGAGGTGTCAGAAAGGTTAGTGTGGATCATCAGCGGCCCGCCCTCGTCACCATTCCCGTTCGGTTCCGTTCCCGCCCGTCCTTACCCGATCCGACCCCTCCCACACCTCCGCACGAAAAGAGCGCGTGCCGCCCTCGCCGGTGCCTTTATAGCCTCCCCGGCGCCGCTATTGGCCAGGCCGCCCTGGGCGCGCCCAATCGCCAGCGGTTGGCGTGACCGCCGCCCCGCCCCTCCCGGCGCTCATTGGCCGCCGCGCTCCCCCGCGCCAATGGCGGCGCGCGGCGCAGCGTGGCCCGAGGCGGTGGTCGCCGCCGCCTGATTGGCTGCCGCGGGAGGCCGGGCCGAGCCAGTGGCGGCGGCGGTTGTAGCGCGGAGCGCCCGCGCCGCGGGGGCCGCCGGGAGTTGTAGTTCGGTCTGCGCGGCCGCGCGGGCGGCGGGCGGCGCGCGGGACTACAAGTCCCGAGGAGCGGCGCGCGCGGCGGGTCCGGGCCGGGCGGCGGCGGAGCAGGCTCGGCCGCGATGTGCCGGCTCCGGGCACCGGCGCCGCGGCCGCCGCCGCTCCCAGGTACGGCGGGACGGGAGGGCCGGGCGGGACGGGCCCCGCGGGGGAACGGCCGGGGAGTGCCCGCGGGGGCTCCCGGCGCTGCCCCGCGCCCGCCGCCCGGTCCCGGCGCCGGGCGGTGCGTTCGGAGGGGCTCCCGCGGTGGCTCCGCTGTTCAGTGCCGGTGCGTCCCGCCCGTGCCCTGCTCTCCGCCCCGTGTGCCCTCCCGGTGTGTTTCCCGGGTCTCATCGCAGACTCTGCCCCGTTTTGCCCTTCTCTGCCCCGTCCCTTGCCCGCCCCCGTCCCGTGTCGCTGCCTGCGCTCCGCTGCCCTCGCGGTGCCTCCCGATGTTCAGGATGGGGTGTTTGGGGCGGTGCTGTGTTCCCTGCCGGGGGTGCCGCGGGTCCCGCTCCCGGGACAGGCTCTGTCCCCGCTCCCGCTGGATCCCGGCGGTGCCGGGGGTGCACGGCAGCCCGGAGAGCGGGTTCGATTGGGTTCAGATGCTCGAGAGCCCTGTGGGGTCAAAGACGAGGACTGCGGTGCTGCCCGGGGCTCGCTGAGTGGGAGATTTGCTGGGGCAGGAGTTACCCAGGCTTTGTGTGTCGGGGCTGCTGTCCCTGCCAGGGCCAGGCTGTGTTAAGAACTGTGGTCTGGCAGTTATTTTTTCCACTTTGACAGAGTTGCTTTGACTTTGTTTCCATCCCAGCGCTCTAATATTGCCTCCCTGTGCGTTTCTCTCCTAGCAATGTGTTCTCAGCCTGGACAAAGCTGTTGGGTTCCTCCGAGCAGCTACTGCATTGTGATCTGAGTGTGTCAGGATCTCAGCTTGTGGGGAGAGGGCTGTGGACTGAAGGATGGTTCTAGAAAGCCCCGGTTGAATAAAAGTAGCGAGACCACAGAATCCCAGAATCACTGAGGTTGGAAAAGCCCCTGGAGTCCCCCCTGTGCCTGATCCCCACCTTGTCCCCCAGCCCAGAGCACTGAGTGCCACATCCAGTCAGTCCTTCCTTGGACACCTCCAGGGGTGGGGACTCCAAACCTCCCTGGGCAGCCCCTGCCAATGTCTGACCACCCTTGCCATGAAGAAATTCCTCCTGATGTCAAACCTGAACCTACCCCGATGAGGGAAATTTGGGATCTCCTAATGTCATGCAGGGAGCTGTCCACACTCTGCTGGGTCCCCCTGCAGGCCCTGGGGTCCCCCCAGGGCTCTGCTGTCTCGAGCAGGGAAGGGGCAGGGTGAATCCAGCCAGAAGTCTCGGGTGTTGGGGTTTGATCCGTGTGCAGGTGAGACTTCCCTGAGGGAAGGAACGTTTGTTCCACCCTGAGGGAGGTTCAGTTTTACCCAGTGGGTTTGGGAAACCTGAGCCAAAGTGGAGTTTCTTGTCAGGAAATGCTGGTACCTTCAGTGGTTAACAGCCCAACAGGAACTTTCAGGATATTGATTGAACCCAAGGGGAAAAAAACAATCCATAGTTTCCAGGCAGTTCTGTTCCCTGATCCGAGGGATCCCTGGGGGATCCCGGCCGCTCTGCAGGGTGAGCCCACACCTGCCTGTTCCTGTGGCAGCACAGCCTGCAAGGGCCTTCAGGCACCTGTGGAGCACCAGATGGAAGTTTGTGCCCCCTGGCTGGAGCCTTTGTGCAGGCAAACATTCCCTTCCCGGGGCTCCACGGTCCCCACGGAGCCGCAGGGACCCCCCGGGCTCTGGGGTTCACTGAGCACCGAGTGCTGGAACCAGCTCTGCCCTGCCAGGAGCTGCTGCTGAGCAGCTCTGGGGCTGGCCCTGAGCGGTGCTGAGCGCTCTGTAGCCTCGGCTGGGGGTTCAGCCATCGGTCACCTCGTGGGCTGAGCATTCCCCTCTGCCATGGGACCTTCCAAGCCCTGCTGGCCATGACTGTGGGATTTCCTGGGGTGTGACCGTACCTGTCTCACAGGTTGTCTCAGCCAAGCCCAGCTGCACCAGGAGAAAGGCACTGGAGAGAAAATCCATTGTGGTTTCCCCACCTCAGCACTTGGGCTCTGTGGGCAGGTTCAGCCTGTCAGAACTCATCCCTCCCGATTTGTATTCCCTTCCTCAGCCCTTCCCTGCCTGTGACCCTTTGCCGTGGGCGTGGTGAGGGACACCCTGGCACATCCCCTCATCCATGGCTTGGAGCAGGGGATGTAGTGGCAGCTGGGACAAGGAAGGAGGTGGCTGGTTGCTCACAGGGCTGTGTGTCACCCTTCTTTGGGGCTCAGCAAGTCCCCCCAGAGCCCAGGGCAGTAGCACCCCAAATTACACACTTAGGCTGCTCCTGCTCTGCCTTTAGCACAGTCCAAGCTCAGAGTTTCATCAGAGTTTCATCAGCTTTTAATGAGGTGTCCTGGGGGTTGGGGTTGGGCGGTCCTGCTCCTGAGAGACCCTCAGCTGGGGGGTGGGTGTCTTGGCAGTAGGAGTGTCACACTGTCTGTGCCTGTATTTTGGGTGAGTCCTGGTCCCCAGCTCAGCCTTTGTGGTGGCTCTGGGATTCCCCTGGATTGTCTCTCCAAGCAAAGACCGTGTTGCTGTTTGATATTCAGAGTTCTGGATAGTTTGGGAACTGTCTAAAGAGGGAGAGGATCCCAAACTCCCCTTAAAGCGAGCGATGGACTGTCCTGTCCCTGGAGCGTTCTGGGATCAGGGGAATAGATCCCTGTGTGCTCAGAGGGGGTTGTTTTTCCTGCACTGAGCCGAACCGGGAGCATTCCCGGAGCAGCCGGGGCAAAGCTGGGAGGCAGCGCGGAGATTGGCTGAGCTGTGGGATTTTCCAGCTGGATTTACATCTCGCCCACTGCTCCGCATGCCTTTGTGTTTACATCACTGGGGAGCGATGCACACACGCACACAGATAGCGGGAGGGCCCGTGCACAGTGCACAGCTCGGGATCGGGGCATGGAGGCGCCTGGCCGGGCTCTGCTGCTCCGGGCCGGCCGAGGGTGAGTGTCCCCCACAGAGCTGACTGCTCCGGGGTTGGGGGTCAGCCCGTCCCCAGCGCTCCCTGGGAAGCTGCTCTGCTTTAGCCATCACAGCAGGGAGGGAGGACCTGCTCCCATCCCTTAGTGGAGAGCTGGGATCCAGCGCCAGTTTGGAAGTGGGTACCTGTGGCCTGTCCAACAGCCAGAGCCCTGCTGTGCTGGTTTTATGATCCTTCAGGGTGACCTTTGCAAGGAGGTGGAACCCTTGATTGCAGCAACTCAGCAAGTGTGCTCTGGGGCTGTTCCTGGTGGTTTCAGGGCTGGGAAGTCCTCAGTTTTCCTTAGGCAGAGTTGTGAGCACGGAAGCCAAGTCTGTGAGGAGAGGCCGTGTCCAGGTGCCTCCCCTTTGTATCCGAAGTCACCGTGGGGAAGTGATTGAAATCCGTGGTGTTTGGGGGCCGTGGGACACTGAACAGTGCTGCTGTCTCAAACCTGTCCATAGGTTTGCCATGGTGGAAGTGTCCACGGCCACTCATTCCTTTTGGAATCCAAGATTCTGAGGGTCACAGTTTGATCAGTGAGTGTAGGTGTCTACCTTGTGCCTCCTGCTTGTTCTCAGTGGCAAAGTCCGAGGCAACTGTACAAAAAAAAGAGCAGGTAACTGGAATTTGCTGGGTTATTTTTCTTTGAGAAGGTGCTGATGCGTTTCAGCCTGATCTTTGAAGTGCTCCAATTGCACCCAGAGGGCAGGAGTGTGTCATAGAGTTTCAAAGCTTTGGAGGATGTTGGGGGGGAGCAGGGGGTGGAAGTGATACTTTGTGCTTTCTGATTCATGTTTATGGGCTCAGGTTTCTTATGACTTTAATCTGGAAGAATCCCATAATGTGATGGGGTGGTTACAGCTTTGCAGAGGAGTGCAGTGCAGCCAGTAAGGCAAAGCAGCTGGAAAAGGCCTCAGTGGTGGCACAGGAATCGAGGAATGAAGGAGAGGAGGAGCTGTGATTGCCTTGGCTCTAGCAGGGCTCCAGGAGAGGAGGATCTAGGTGAGACAAATGTTCCTCTGGCTCCCTTGGGAGAACAGAGGCTGAACCTCTCCATACCCAGGCTTTGCTGCTGACCTGCTGTGTCTTAGAGGATTTTTAGGTGAGTTGCAAGCCCCTCTGTCGACCAGGTTTGCAGCAGCAGGGCCTGAGCCAGCCCACAGGACCCTGTGGGGTCTTGGCAGCCACTTGGTCTCTCTGTCAAGCAAGGCTGAGGAGCAGCAGTGAGCACCAGTTGAGGTGTGAGTGGTGTGACTGATCTCAGCTTTTAAAGCCTGATAATTCTTACCAAGATCTGCCTTGCACAGAGCTGACCATTTCCTCCCAGGGAACTGCAGCAGGACTGCGATTTTTGCCTTAGAGGGGTAGGATGTTGTTGGTTTGGCGGCTTGGTTGGAGTTTTATTCATTTTCCTTAACCAAATGCCCAGTTTAACAATGTGATGGTGTCTGAGTGGGCCTGTTCTTTGAGGGAGGACGTGGAAGAGCACAAGCTGTGAAAGGCACAGCACGAAGCTGCAGCATTAGGGCCAACTTTTAAAGCACCTTTTGATTCCAGGCTTTGTGTGGAGGAGCTCTGGACGTGCCTGTTCCTGCCAGCCTGGCTGCCCAGCAGTGGCTGTGCAGCTGCTGAGCCCAGACACAGCCATTTCGGTTGGAGGGGTCAGAACTACCGAGCCCTGGTCTGCATAACAAAAATGGGGTAATAGATGGGTGCTTCCAGGTTACCAAAAATGGAACTAAAGCTTCAAATGTAGCTTTCGTGTCATGGAACAGCACTGAACATTGGCCTCTGTTCTTCCTTTTAACTTCATTTTTTTGGGGGGAGGGGAAAAATGAGATGCTTTGTTCCACCAGAGCAATCACTTTTGATCCAGTTATGGGCACATTTGAAAGTTACTGCTTCAGGTTATTTAACATGAAGTATTACAAAAAAAAATCTTCTATCCCAAGGAGTCATTGTCCATTAGGAAAAGCAGCATAGGACATGATTTCCTGTCCTGAACCCCGTTAGCTCAAAGGCATGGCCACGTTCAAGCAGCTGTTGAATGTGCCCTCGCAGCCCTGCAGTCGGTGGAAGTGCTGGTAAAAGCAGCAGCAATTAAAAATATCAGTTTTATTTTTATTGATGACAGCTCGGTACAATTTTGGTCTCAGGAAAGTTTTTATGACTTATAAGAAAAACTTCTGAACGATACAAAGACTGTTCCACAGAACCCAACACGCACCAGACGGAGGTGCCACGTTCTGTCGGTGAGGCTGAACTTCTGCTCATGTTTTATTCCTTCTAGCACTGACTGCACATCTTGGTGTACGGTCCTGGCCCTCAAGAGGCCTCCCAAAGGGTGTAAGAAAGGTCCTGCTGGGTCAGAGCATCAGTTCTGTCTTCAGCAGTTATGGAAATCATGGAATCCTGGAATGGTTTGGGTTGGAAGGACCTTAAAGCTCATCTCACTCCACCCCCTGCCATGGGCAGGGACACCTTCCACCAGCCCAGGGTGCTCCAAGCCCCGTCCAACCTGGCCTTGGACACTTCCAGGGATGGGACAACCACAGCTTCTCTGGGCACCCTGTGCCAAAATTGGTGCTGGAACCTGACCACTTTCTACCACCCATTTGCCTCATGTTTTCCCACCACTCAGACAACTTGGATTAGATACCTCAACCCCTGATTGTTGTATTTGTCATCCCCTGAAGTTTCTCTACCCTGTGTCTCCTTCCAAAGCAAGGACCAGAGTTACAGCATGCAGGAGACAAGTACATGGATGTTTTATGTAGCACCCCATGACACCCTCGTGGTTGTTCTCTCGGCATTTGTGATGCTGCTCAGCATCTCATTGGCCTGTTTGGTGCTGTCCTCTGGGCTGAGAGCTCCAGCTCATTGTAGAGACTCCAGTGTCTCATTCTGGAGCTGAGCATCGTTACTGTTCCCTGGGTGCATTGTTTCACACTTCTCTCCATTTTACAAAGCTTTTAGCTTGTCTGCCGTCTCTTTGTCTCCTCAGTTTTGGGAGGTTTTCTGTAAGTTCTTCACCACCAATGTGGTATTTGACTGGTCAGAAGAGCTGAGTGCCACCTGCAAACGTGGTGATTTCACTGCTTGCTTTGGTTCAACATCTTCATCTGGGACCTGGAACGAGCTGACCCAGCAGTGGTTCTGAGGGAGCCCTGGCTTAGTCTTCCCTAACCTGAGGAGTGACCAGTGGGCTCCACCCTCTGCTTCCTGTCTGGTGACTGAGAGGTGTCTATCTCAGGGATCTGGGCTAGCTCAGCATTCTGAGGCCTGTGTTTTACCAGTCAGACCAGATGCTGATAGTCCTCATCACCATGAGGTACTAGTAGTCACAGAATAATTAATTAGAGTTGGAAGGGACCTCTGGAGACCATCTAGTCCAACTCCCTGGCAAGGCAGGGTCACCTAGAGCAGGTAACCGTGTTCTTTAAGCCCTGTTGATGCAGCTCACAGGGCTCTTTTGGGTGCTATTTCCACCACACATACCAGGGAAGCCAGTGTGACTGTCCCCAGGCTGTCTCTGGGATTTCAGATGTTCCCTTGCTGGTTGCTGAGGGCCACTAAGAACCAGTTCATATGAATGGGCAACACCTTGGTCCTGCAGAAGGACAGGGTGCACAGCCTGCCCCAACTGGGCTGGATATACTGGCCCTGTGAGCTCCCCCAGAGGAGCCCTGGATGTGTGAGAGCTTGGGATACAGAGAAAGGGGGTGTAGCCCCCAAACCCACCCCCTGTTCTCAGCACCCCGTGCCTTCTCCTTGTCCCGTGGAGCTGGGCTGTGGGAACTTCTCAGATTATTTCCCTGGGGATGTGCCAGTACTCTCCAGGATGTGTAACCCTCATCCTGGCTGTGGTGTTGTAAGAGGAACAGGAGCTCTTACGCCATAAATACCCGGGCTGTGAGATAAGGAAGTTCATGTCACACAGGGGCTGTTCCAGCCAGAGCAGGATAACCCATGCCTGTCTTTCCTGCTGGCAAACACTCCTGCTGAGATGATTTTGCTGCTCCAGTGGTTTCCTTGGGGGTGAATAACCTTGGAGAGGGCTTCAGTGGAGAGAGGAAGGCGGGGGAGAAGAACCAGCAGATGTAGGACACGCTGAGCGTCACAGGCTGGCGGTTGCGTAAGGCAAAGGAGGCTCTTGCTGGTGTCTTGGCAAGGAGGTGCTGTGGGACATTGCAGCTGCCAGTCAGCACATGTCACCTGCAGGACCCACTGCCGTGCCCCTGGCTCACCTGGAGAGCAGCCAGAGCACAAACCCCAGCAGTGCCCTGGTGCCTGCAGAGGTGGGGTTCCTGCGCTGGGAACCGGCTCTCCATCAGGACCAGGCAGGTTTCGTGATGGTTGTGAAGGATGGGATACTCTGCTGCCCCTTCTCCTCATGCCATGTCCCCCCTTCAAAGCCTTGGATCTTCTGCAGAGTATTGGGAATAATTGTGTGTGCTCTGGGGGCAGAGGGAAGGCAGATGCCACCAGACTCCTCTTCAGCATGGCCAGTACTTCCATGGAACTGAGTGACCCTTAATGTCCCTTCCAACTCAAACCATTCCAGGACTCTGTGATTAGCCAGGCCACTGGTCCCAGAGGTGATTCTCCTCCCTGCTTTGAGGTGGTTGGCAGGGTTGGCAGCAGTGTGATCCACGGCTGATCCCACTGGATCTCCCCTCAGCAGCAGGGAGGAAGAGCACTGCTTCCCCCAGCTGCCTCTGCAGCTACTGGTGGTTGGGTTTTTCCTTGCCTGGATTACTACAGTAGGATTTTAAGGCTTTTTTCTCACTGAGTCTCAAAAGCCTGAGTTGATCCCTGTGGTGTGCAAATGCTGAAACTCATCCCTTCCCCTGCCTCGCATCTGGTTGCGATCAGCCGTGGGATTTACTGGATGGCCTGTCCCCACTGCTTCCTTTTCCAGGGTAGATTTTTTTTCCCCTCTTTGTTTACTGTAAAAAACACTGAAGTTGCATGTCAGAAAAAAAGAAAAAAAAAAAGAAGTATTAGAAAAATTAACTGCAGGCAAGGAGAATCTGGGTCACAGGCTGGGATCCCCAGGAGGGACACTCATCCTCTGGGCCTGGGAGCACAGGACGCTGTAGCTGGCAGGGTTCAGGTGCCAAGCCAAGGTGCAGAAATCTGGCAGAGGTTTTTGCAAGTGCTGTAGGAATCTGATATTATTATTGACAGCATCAGCTCTTTTTTGCCTCCTTTTAACTTGCTGGATACCAGTTGGAAAAGGCCTTTCTCAGTACCTCTTGGAAGACATGAGGAGCTGTCAGACAGTGCTCTGGGGAGGTGTCTGCTCTGCTGAAATGCTCCTGCCTATGGGTGGGTGCAGAGATTTGGGCTGAAATCAGATATTCTCGTGGCTGCTGGTGTTCTGCAGCCTGGCTGGTACTCCACTCAGCGTTTTTGCCATTGCTCACATTCCTCTGCTCTCTGTTCAGAGCAGACAGAGCAGGTCCCTGCTGCTGCTTGCAGGTGGGTTGCTCAGCCAGGCTGCAGAGCACAGGTCATGCTTATAAACAATGAGTGGAAAATCCCCATTCTCTTCCTCACTTTGGATTTATCCATGCTCTGTTACTTTTGTTTCGGTGGGATTTTGGGGCAGGGTGAGACTGGAGATGCTTCCTTAGTGCCTCTCACAGGACACTTCTCCATGGCCTGTGGGTTATCCCTGGGAAGTTCCCAGGCAGGTGCTGTAGGGGTCACTGTAGTGGCTCAGGTGCCCGCAGTCACTGTTTGTTGCACGTCTGATCCAACGTTTAAGGATATTCCAGAGCTCCTCAAGCTGTTAGTTATCCCCATTTTCGGTTTTCCCTGTCTCCGAGTGCTTTCCCATCGCTCGAGTCACCATCTGTTACATCTGAAGGTGATACATACCCTGAAAATGAGAAGGGAATGAAGCTTCTGTGTGAGTCTCCAGACAGCCCACAATCCACCATCAGGATGGGCTTCCTCCCTTTCCATCTGGGAACGATTGTTTGCCCTAAAACCCAACAGGAATATTTTATATGCGAGGTTCCCTTAACGCTGACACGGCTGGTGAGGTGGGAGCACATCCCTGCTCCTGGCTTTGAGCAGTGCAGGATGAAGGGGGTTTGGGCAGATGTTGCTGAGTTTCTGTGGATTCATATCCCTGAAAAGTGAGTCCCTCTGTTTCTACCTTAGTGGAAATGACCAGAGCTCAGCTGCTTTGTTACACACAGGGAACCCATGGAGAGGGGAAATTTAGGGATGCATGCATGTGATGATTAAGGATGAGATAATGCAGCCTCGAGACATGAGACCCCAGGAAATGTGGCAGTTTATGCCATCACTCGTGGAAGAACTTAGCTTTTATGAGCACTGCATCATCTGGAGAGCCCAGCTGCAGACCTTTTTGACTCTTTGATCTTCAGGCTTTGTAGTGCAGGAATGCTGTGCAGAAGAGGTGAATTTTTGCTGGGAGGAAGCCCAGAGCTCCAGGGGGTTGTCCAAGGCTGCCGGAGGGTGAGAGGCTGGGTGAGGTTCAGATCTCATGGGGCCACAGCCAGTGTTACCCAAAAGCTTTGCCTGCCCTCTCCCACCACCCACCCTCCCAATTCCCTCTAATCTCTGTGCCCTAAGGAACACTGACAGGAATGAAAGGATCTGATGGCCACAGCCAAACTTCTGGCTTGCTGGAGCCCAGCTTTAAACTCGGCAGGTCTCCCTGGTGCAGCAGCACAACACTGCTTCAGTCCTGCTGGTTTTGAGACAGCTCCAGCAACTCTGCTCAGCATCTCCTCAGGGATCTGGCATTTGCAAAGAGCCAGGACAGTGCTGTCACATGTGTGGAAAACATTATCCAGATCCCTGGTTTTAAGATGGGTTTAGCTTCGGAGTTTGTTTGTTTGGATTTTCATTGGAATTTGTGTGGGGTTTTTTTGTTTTGTTTTGTTTTAGACTGTAGCTTTTTCTGAGAGTTTAATCTGGAGTAGCAATTCCCTGGATTCTGCTGCTGCTGTTGCTGGCTGCCTGACAGCTGTTGGATCCAGAGCTGCAGGGAGCATCAGGAAGTGCTGTGTCAGGCCCTCAGCAGAGCCTTGGTCAAGGACAGCTCGAGTGTCACCTTTGCAGTGTTTAAAATGCAAGTGCAGGATGTGCCAGCCCCGTGTGCAGGCAGCCTTGTGCCAGGGCTCTCCAGGGAGGTGGGAATCCCTGGACAAGTCCCCGGTTGCAGCTACACAGTGGGACCCTGTCTCTCTTGGAGTCTCAGTTTCCCTGTCTGTAAAGGTGGAGAAATCACAGTGGTGATTTTGTAAGGAGCTTGGAGGTTTAGGACTTGTCACCTCCAGGCCAGGGAAAACCAACTGCTAGAAACCCCCGAGACACTTCACCTCCCAACAGCTGGAAGTGGGAGCAGCAGGAGTGTGTGGAAGCCTGGCTGGAGCAGAGCCATCTCTCAGGACCTGTGGGGTGTTCCTTACAAGGTCTTGTCCTGCAAAAAGGGGTTTTGGTTGTCTTAGTAAACCCTTTTTGGCCTGTCTGTCCTCACTGCAGGTGTGTGTCTGTTTAGCCCCTGGAAATACCAAGTGAAAATACCAAGGCTTACCTCGGACAGAAAGGGGTGCCCTGGAGCACCATCAGGTTCTGAGGTTGAAGAAAGCAAACTGCAGGTGTTTATGCAGGTTATTGTTGTGGAATTCTTGACTTTGCAAACTTGAGCTTAGTGAAAATCCGTGTAAACAGTGGAAAAAGAGAAATGAGCCCCCTTTTAAAAGATAATATTTTTAGAAAATGCTGAACTCTCATCCAAGAATGATTCAAAGGAATCTGACTTTGTCCTTGCCTCTTCCTCCTGAAAATCCAGGTTTATGTGAGTTTAGGTAAACACTTGGACTTAGTGCTGCAGGAGAGTGTTCTCTGAGCCCAGGAAAATACATACAACAAACCTAACTCCCTTTCCCTTCTTCCACAGAGCAAGCTTCCCATGACTAACAGATGCTGGCCTAGATTATGAGCTCAAACAAGAACGCTCGCTACAATCGATTCTCCAGTGGCACAACAAACATCACTCCTTCAGAAAACACTAACGGGGTAAGGTCACTGCTGGTGGCAGAGCAGAGGGACTAGATGCCTTCTGAGATACGGTATTTTCTTGCCTCTTAAAATTCTCAAAGTTCACAGATAAAAGCTAGGAATATGTATGTACATTTTTTCACCAGTTCAGGAAAGATCTGAGGCATTTATATGCCCTGACCTTCATTTTTTCAATATTTCAGACAAGAATGGAAACAACTTTTGGACCAGCCTACTCTACTGTGACAACTATCACAAAGGGTGAGTATTTCGTGCTTGGAGCATCTCCCCAAAGCACTGTGGGTGATTCCAGGGTTGTTGTTGTTGTTGTTCTACAAATCATAAAGCTGCTGGGAGAATCACTGTGTTCATTAACCAGGGGCTGGTTTTAGTGCTCTTCAGCCCCCGTGTCCAGACATGAAGAAAATGAGCAGGCACAGGACTTGTCTCCCCTTAGGCAGAGTGAACAGGACCACTGGGAAGCTCCTGTTGAAATTAGGATAGTACAACAGGGTTTGATACTGAGCTCAGCACCAAATCTTACTGATCCCTGTGACAATCATCACCAGCACTGAAAATTCCATCTTCACTCTTGTGCCTGTGACTGTGAGTCACTCTGGAGCTTTGGTGAAAACCCCGTGGCCATTTTTAGCTCATACAGGAGAGGATGCAAATGCCTCTACTCATTTAGAATTCCTGTGCCTTGCTCCTCAAAGCTCAGCAGGTGAGGGAAGCCTGAGGCCTGACACGTGGGGTGAATGTAGGAAGAGGTCTGTTTTCATTTTGGAATAAAAATATCCTTCCTTTAGTAAAGACAAGAAGACTTGACACTGATTTAGATCAGGAAATTAACATGTGCCTGAAGAATATGTTTGGATTACATTTGGCCTGGACTCTGGATGGTTTTGGACTCCTGAATATTTACGGTCAAACTTTTACATGAGTCAGTAACGGGATCTCTATACAAATATCTCATATTTAATTTACCATGGCCTCCCTTGTGCTGCAAGAGTATCCAGAGCTTCATGGACCTAAGCAATTTTTTTGTGACTGAGATATGTGGGAGTATAAAGTTTCCTTTCAATAGTGTTTTTAAGCTGTGGACCTGACAGAACATCACCTGTGCTCCTTTCTGGGCAAGCTCTCAGAGATCAGAGCTGTTCCACCTTTGCTGATATGTCCAGTCACGAACGGGAGTGGGACAATCCCGAGTCTTTTCCTTTTCTGAGGACCACTTACAGCTACAGAGGCTGACCCATAGTTTGGAAATGTTTCTGAGGAGCCTAAATGCCTGTTTTTCTTTCTTTGCTTCCCTCCAAAGCTGACGGGACCAATACTTTCAAGCAGCACCGCCGGACCCCGTCCTCCTCCAGCACACTCACCTATTCCCCTCGGGACGAGGATGATGGCATGGTAGGTGCTGCCAGGGCCCTCCTGACTGGCTTAGCTGAGAGATGAGAGATGTCTGGTGTTCCTCTGGACTCCTCTGCCTCCCTGATCATTCCATGCACTGTTGTATCCAAGGGAGATTCCTGCACTGGGGGGCAGGACCAGCCTCAGCGTTCCTGGCTGCTCCTGTGCTTGGTGCCATGGGGGAGCAGCTGATCCTGACCTGGGGCTTTAAGCTGGTGCTGCTGGTGCTCATTTTCACACTGCTTGAAATTGTTACGTGGTTTCAAAGCCTGGGAAGTACAAATCCCACTGACCTGTGTGTGAGGGTGTACCTGGCTCTGGGAGAGAAGGTGCTCGGGAGGAAACAGCCCCAGCCAGGGGTGTCTGGGCTGTGACTGAGGCCAGGCAGTCTCGGGCAGGGTGTGTTGGATGGATCCCAGCTGGCTCTGCAGCTAAGGCCACGGAATCCATTCCTATTCCCACCTCCAGATGGGGCTTCTGGCCACAGGGAGCAGGTTTGGAACCTGCAGGGTGGGATGTTGGACACTACAGACTGTGCTGGGCTCCTGGGGGCTTCTCACAAAAACTATTCCTGTGTTTCCCAATATTTTTGTGGAGAAGAACTTCCCAATTTTGTATTTGGCTTTCTTACTCACTTCTGAGTAAGCTGGTTTTGGGGAATTCAGTGATTCAACAGGCCTCAGGGTTAGCTGCTTAGAGAGAAATTAAATCAGCTAAATCAATTAAATCAAGAACAGCAACAGCAAAGCAAACCTCAGGGAAAGGATGGACAGCTCTGAGGCCTGGACCTTCTCCTGTCCCTGGTGCTCCAACCACATCTCACAGCCACAAGCTCTGTTTAGATTTAAGCATGTTAGTAGTAAACTTCAAATAAAGTCCTTGTAGACTTAGTCAGGTTACAAGACCCAGCTTCCAAGCTAGAGATAAATGGGATCCCTGCTGCTGGAGTTAGGCCCTGACAGAGACCGGGGTCAGCAACAGTGTGGAGCTACAACACTGCTGAAAATAAATTTGACACCAGATTGCAAAGAGCTTTATTGTCAGCATCCTATAAAGTTCCTTCTGTTGCTCAGACATCTTGCTGTGTTTTGTGTGAGCCCATGGGGTTTTTTGTTTGTTTTTTTTCCTAACAAGTCCTTTGAACATTTGCCTGGTGTCCTTGGCAGGTGCAGCTCTCCATCCCATCCCTGACCCCACAGTGCTGGGCCACTGCTCCAGGCCACCCTTGGCTGTGAGCACGACCCCTGTGGCCTCAGTGCTGGGCTCACTGTGCCCTTCTCACCAGCTGGGCAGTTCTCACAGGGCAGAGGGGAGGAGTTTTCCAGAGGGGGGGATGCTGGGGATATCTCATTTAGCCAGGTCTGGTGGAGGAGCTCCTTTGAAAACCCCCGTGTCATGAACTGAGGTGTGCAGCCAAAAATAGGGGAGATCTCTCCTGGGATCCAGCCCCAATCCTCTTGGACAGTCTCAGCCCACCGTCCCTGGAGTGCTAAATGTGCTTAAGCAAAAATAGCAGGAGAATTAATGAGTGGTTCAGGAATCAGCATGAGGTGCTGACAATCCGGAACCACCCCAGCCCTGCTCTGCCTGCTGCTCCAGACAGACTCACTAACCCTTTTAGGAAGCTTCATTTGCTTTGTCAAGAAATAATCTGGGATTTCCCTTCCTCATCACTGAGTTTTCCCTCCTCCAGAAGCTGCCAAGGGCTTGTCAGCCATCAGTGAGACAGCTGGAGACGAGTCAGAGCCCTCCTGTGACCTCCACCACCCCTTTTTCTTTCTTTTTAAAGCTTCTGTTAATGAAACCCAAAGCAGAGCAGCATGTTCTGTGTGCAAGGCAGGGATTACTGAGCAGCTGCTGTCAGCTTTCCATGAAACCAGTGCCACAGGTCCCCTTGAGGACTCTGCTGGAGCCTTCATATGGAGGCTGCACTTGTAGCTGAGGTGATGGGAACTGCAGCTAAAGGTTACAGCTGAATATTGGGACAAATAGGTACTAATGGGTGAAGGCTGCCTGGCTGTCCAAAGTCTGTTGTTCACAGGGAGCTTTACCTCTGGACTGAGTTATCAGCCAGAAACTATCTATCTTCCATCAGAAGATTTGGGTGCTCCATCCTTGGACTGTTTGAAGATGCACCTGATGTTTAGTGCAGATGTTTAGATCCAGAAAGTCCCAGGATGCCATTCCATGTTGTCCCTGCAGCCCAAGGGAATGAGGGAGCTTTCTCAGCACATGCATTTCTCCCCTGGGCAGTTAACACCAGCATCACCCCAACCACGACACAGGGCTCTGAGCCCACAGTGTTACTGAAGCCTTGAAAGTCCGTGTCTCACACCTTTGCCTCCTGGAAATGATTTTGGGCAGCAGTGCCCCCTCTCCATTGCTGACCACCTGCTTCCCTGCAGAGCCTGCCTGTGCTGCCCTCAGCTCCGTGTCACCTCCAGAGTGGGAACTATGCACAGTCATTCTTGTTATTTTAATAACTTCTGTTACTGGTGGAGGAAAATAATAAGCTGAATGGATACACATAAAATTGATTTACTCATTATAACCATTCCTCCTCAAGGTTTACCTGTTTAGCCAATAAATATGCTGTCTTTAAGGAAAAGCTTTATGCTTTGGCTTCTAAGCAGATGCAGCAGCTCTGAGCTCCTGGGAGCCCAGGATCATAAAACTGGAGCAGCAGAGCAGTGTGAGGAACCAGCAGGATCCTGCTCTGCTGCTCTTGTGCAGCCCAGCCAGGCTGCACTCAGGCTGCAGCCTCTGAACCTCATCCTGCAGCTTTCATTGCTGGATTTCCTGACTGCCTCTCATGGAACATGAGGGAAAGTGTTTTGCTCTTAAGGTGCTGCACAGGAACCCAGGGCACCAGAGTCTGGTCAGAAGCTGGTGCAACTTCCCCTGTTCCAGCTGGGCAGTGCCAGGGCTGGCCTGGGCCTGGGTCAGGGACACTCAATTCCAGTGGGCAGCCAGTGATCTCCACAGCTGCTTCCAGCCAGCTCTGCTCAGCGTTGGTGGCTGACAGAGCTGCAGCCAAGCCATACAGAGGTGTGACACATGCAGGTCACCTGCTGGTGCCAGGTGTCGCACACTTAACAGCTTCATCCTCCCCTTTCTTTGTCAAAACATCCATTCTGCTCCTTGACTACCTTTATTCCTTCTCTCTGCACCCTTCCCAGTCTTCCAGGAGCATGTCTTCCCGAGTAACCCAGCAGTGGCTGCACTCCCAGATGGCTTTGGGACCCCCAAATCCAGACACTTCACGGTCTGAAGATTGTCCAGTTTTGCTCTGACGCCAAGTTTCATCTTGGCTACATGCTGCTGGTTGATATTCCGCCCTGAGAGATGCACTGCCTGTTAATATTCCAGAGGCAGCATTCCCTCAAAGCCAATCCAAGGCCGCTGTAGGCAGGGGGATCGCGTTGGTTGGTGCGCGGTGTCCGCTCCGCTCTCCCTCCCGAGCAGGAAGCGGCAGAGCCGGGCTGTGAGGGAATTCAATAGAAGGAAGTCTCCACACTTACGCAAAGAAATTTGGCAGAAGTTAGATAGCGAGTGCAACAACAAGTGCTGCTGCAGAGATTGGAGACAGGGCAGGAGCTGGAGCAGTCTCGGGGGGAGATTTACAGAGCTTTCCGTGAAGGATTAATTCTTCCAGACCATTGCTCTGCGGGTGCCCACGGTAAGTGAACAGCGAATGCACCTTGGAGAAAGGGACGTGCTTGGAATTCAGATGCCGGCCCGGTTTAGGAAGTTAAACCTTAATCCTGTCTCTGAGCACAGTGCAGGAAGGGCACACAGCAGCAGGGCCGCTCAGTGCAGCTTGGAGTGGAGCAGTGTAGCTTTGGGAGGGAGAGGACTGAACTTGAAGTGTTCACATAGAGTTTGGGAATTCCTTGGACTAACCAGAGCTGGTTTTATCTCTTTGAAGCCCCCGATCAGCACCCCACGCCGCTCTGACTCTGCCATCTCCGTCCGTTCTTTGCACTCCGAGTCCAACATGTCCTTGCGCTCGACGTTCTCACTCCATGAGGAAGAGGAGGAGCCAGTAGGTATTTGGGATTGTCTGAAGGAGCAGTATTAGGAAGTGCAGTGTCAAAAGAGTAACTTAGCGGACTTGTGAGAACACAGAGCTGTCACAGACGGATTTTTTTGATGCCTGGCTGTCAGAACTCCGGCTTTAACTTTGTTTCCACCACTGGCTTTGCTTCCTTGTGAAGCATTTCCCTCTCTGTAGAGCGAGGACAATGGTGAGGCTTTTCTGCTTCCCAGATAATCTGCAAGTCTTTGCAAAGTCCCATGTGATTCCCTGGCTCCACTGCAGAGCAGTGGGGGTTGCAAAGCTCAGGCTGGTGGTCTGGCCCCAGGGAGCAGGAGAAATACAATTCCCCATGGATCTGGAGCCCCATCCCACATTCAGGGCTGTGTGGCACCCCACTGACTTGATTGTAAGCCCCTGGAGAGTGCAAGGAGTTGTCTGCGTGTTGGGGGAAAACACTTTTAAGCTGATCTTAGCTTGTAACCCAGTAACTAACCCCAGACTGGATGAATGAAAGGTCAGGTGGCGTTTTGCCACTGATCTGAGATAAAAGTGTGTTTCATGTTTGGGAACCCAGGGGGTTGTGTTTGCATTTCTGAGAGCAGTACGGGTTGAAAAGACAGACTGAACTGCATAGATTGATTTGAAATGCTCTGAAATGTGAAGCCCTGCTCTGGCATGGCATGGAGGGCTGTGCTGCTCCAGGAGATCATGCTCAGGGTCCTGGAGAGCCATGCGGCTCCAGGAGGGCGTGCTGGGAGCCCTGCAGAGCTGTGGAGCTCCGGGAGGACGTGCTCACAGCCCCGTGCTGGCAGTCGTAGTTGGTAAACAAAACTGGAGAGATGGGCCCATTGCAGCAGAAACAATGTTATTTCTGCTTCATAAGGGAATGAAAGAGCCCTTCCTCCAGGATGTTTCAGAAATACAAAAGGGCAGGCTGCTCTAAAATTGCTTTCAAACTCCAGGCTTAGTACATCTTTGACAACGCTCTGTTCAGTCCAACCAAGCACAAAGTCCCAGTCAGTGCAGCTCACACAGGTCTGGTGATTTGAGTCCCCGACAGAGAGGTTGGTCTGAGCAGTTTGCTGTCAGGTCCTGATCCTGCCAGATGCTGGTGGTCCCCAGTTTGTGACGAGCTGAGGGTCTCTAGCCATTCCCAAGTTTGTTCTTCCCCTGCCTCTTACTGCAGCTCAGCAGATCCAGACAGATTGTTTGGCTGAGACAGTGAACCCCTCGGTGTGCCCAGTGCCCCGGGCTCCCCGAGACTCACCTCTGAGGAGCATTTTGTTCCTTCTGCGGAGGAAAAGCTCTTGTGTTCAGACTAATCCTTGTGCTGTCTTTGTCCCTTTCTGTCCCCGCAGGAGCCCCTGGTGTTTGCTGAGCAGCCCTCTGTGAAGCTGTGCTGCCAGCTGTGCTGCAGTGTGTTTAAGGATCCGGTCATCACAACCTGTGGGGTAAGGCAGAGCTTTTTAGTTCACCAGCATAGTGTGTGAGCCAGAGCCAAGCCCTGACTGTCCCCACTGGCTGTCCAGCTCTTGCCTAAGGTTGGATGGCTTTTCCCAGGGGAGCTGCCCTGTCCTAGCCATGTTCAGTCTCCTTGCTGTGGCTTCCATGAGGTCTAAAACTCCTCGTTCTCTGTCCTGAAGGGCTCTGCAAGGAGCTCCAGGGCACCCCTGGAATGGCTGCTCCTCAGCTGGAAGTGTTGCTTATAAAACAAAAATGGCTGGAAGCTTCATTTAGTTAATGCTTGCAAAGGGATTTGAGATCCTCGAATGAAAGGCACTGAGTATTATGAATATTCTTCTGGATTCCATTTTAGTGGGATTTAATAGAAGCTGTAAATTATTCCTGCTTCTGTGGTACTTGTGAAGAAAGATGGCTTCGAGATGTGCTCTCTAGTGCTTGTGATGTGCTTCTGATTGCCAGGATGGGGCTGTAGCAACAACAGCTCAGGATTGTTTATTGCAGTGAGGGTGCAATTCCCCAAAAGTGCTGGAAACTGGTGCGGTTTCGCTGCACCATTTCAGAAAGCAGCTCCTCACAGAGACACTGGAATGTGCTGGTTAACATGGAAAAACCCGGCTGCAGGGAGCAGGCTTGGCCTGCAGTCTCTGCCTGGCAGCTCCGGAGGGCGCTCCGTGCAGCTGTGCCGGCAGGAAAAGGAGCAGGGCAGCAGATACCAGATAAGAGCTCTGGAGAGGGGCTCCAGCCACTGCCAAGCCCTGGCCCTGCGGCAGGGGAATGAGGCTGAGGGGGCTCCAGGGAGCCCACGGGGCAAGGTCAGGACCAGTGAAGCCCTGCAGCCTTTGTGTTCGTGAGTGTGGCAGATTGTTACTTCATCGAGTTAAACTGTAAGAGCAGAGAGAGGGAGCTATTTAAAGTGCTACAATTTACAGAGCATTTAGTGGCTTACAAACCAGCTGTTCCATCTTCCTGGCAGCAGGACAGGGCAGCTTCAGCTACCTTAGAAGAGCCCCAGAGGCATATGTGTGATGGGCTGACTGGGCAAAGACAGGGAGAGGCCAGGCTTTCCCCTTGCTCCTTCCCTTGAGGACTTCTCAGGGTTGTGGGAGGGATGATATGGGCTGAAGTGGAAGGTGAAGTAGGGAAACCCCATGCGGATGTGGTAGGGTGGTAGGAAGGACTTGGATATGTTCAAGACTAGTCAGGATGGAGCCCTGAGCTACCTGATCTAGTGGAAGGTGTCCCTGCCCATGGCAGGGGGTTGGAACAGGATGATCTTTAGGTCCCTTCCATCCCAAACCATTCTGTGATGCCATGAATATCAGAGTGTGGCAGAACATGCCCGTGGCTTTGGCTGTCACCACAATCATGGCCTGATCCTGAACGGGGCAGAACATCAAAGTTTAATGCTCTCAGGAGCTGGACCTGTGCTGCACCCTGAGCAAGCAGCTGGGCTTTGCCCTGTGGTGCTGAGCTAAAGCAGGCAGAACAGCTGCTGAGGCCCCTGAGCCACAGGCTTGGGTATTTCCCACCTTTCCCATCATTGTCCACGGGGAATAATTAGCCTGCTCTCATTTTACGCTGACGCTGCTGTTCCTCTCTGTCTCCACAGCACACATTTTGTAGAAGATGTGCCTTAACATCTGGTGAGTACAGAACTGTTCTTGTGTGATGCAGTCAAAACACTGTTATTTTCTGGTTTGTTTGCTTTCACTTAAAAAGAAACCTGCAGAAAAATGTTCAGAGAGCTTCAAACAAGCTGCCAGTCGGATCTGCCACTGCAGCAGTGAGGGGCTGGGGCTCAGGGGCCATGCAGCTCCCACGGAACACGCTGGAGCTTGGGCACTAGAGAGAGGACTGGGCCCAGCTCTTGGGCACAGGATGTTCTCAAATCGTGGAATATGCCCTGGATAATCCCAGGATAATACACGTCTCGCCCAGAGCTGACCCATTGATTTCAGACTGAAAGCTTTCTGTGGCTGCCTGGCTAAGGAACAGGGGGGCTGTGTTTGGCAGAGCCCCATCAACCCTTCCTCCCCCAGCCCCTCAGTGCCAGCGCTCTGGCCCCTGCTTGTGCCCCACAGAGCTGCTTTAGCTCACCCAGCTCTTCCAGAACCCTGAGGGAGCCCAAGCCTCTGGCTGCTGGCCTGGGATAACCAGCTCCCACTTGGATTGGACTCTGCACCACAGAAAAGACTTTTTTTGGCACAAACCTGTGCCCCTCTTGGCAAGTTGTTGTTCAGCACAAAGCCAAGCCATTGGCATTACCATCACAGTGAGCCCAGGAGGGGCAAGCTCTTTCTGCCTTACAGTTTTCACCTTCCACATGTGAAGGGTCCCTCTGCTTTGCATGCTAATCTCACTGTGTTTTGCTGTGTCTGTCCCACATGTTCTGTAGCAAAAGGCTTTGCAGTTGCAATCCCAAGTTGCTCAGCTTTGCTTCTGCCCTCCAAGCTTGTGTTTCTGCCTCTGTTGTAGCCAAATGTGGGTCGGCCTCTTGTCCCTGGTAACAAGTGATGGGACAAGAGGAAATGGCCTCAGGCTGTGCCAGGGGAGGGTCAGGTTGGACATCAGGAAGCATTTCTTTCATGGAGAGGGTGGTCAGGCATTGGAAGGGGCTGCCCAGGGAGGTGGTGGAGTGCCCACCCCTGCTCAAATTATCATGGCTTAAAAAAGCCTTTAACTTTTCCAAGCCCCAAGACTAACCAAAGACAGTGGCTCGCAGACCTTGTGTAATATTCATGGCTCATTCCATGGCCACCCACCTGGGACTTGGCTGACTTGGCCAGGGAAGGCAAAGGAACAAAATCTCCACGCAGAGGCTCCTGGAAATGCTCCTGGAAATGCTCCTGCACTGTCTGAGTCCTCGCTGACGGTGTTTTCCCTCCATCCCTGGCAGAGAAGTGCCCCGTGGACAATGCCAAACTGACAGTGGTGGTGAACAACATCGCTGTGGCCGAGCAGATCGGGGAGCTGTTCATCCACTGCAAGTACGGGTGCCGAGCCGCGGCCAGCAGCAAGCCCACCGCCTTCGAGGTGGACCCCCGCGGCTGCCCCTTCACCATCAAGCTGAGTGCCAGGAAGTAAGTGCCCTGTTCCAGCCTCTCCAGGGAAGGGGCTGTGCCAGCCCATCACACCTGAGCTGCCCTGCGGCTCCGGGGCCGTGCAGCTCCTGCCAGCGCTGCACTGCTGGGCTGTGCCGGCAGTGGGAGTGGGCAGGGGGGGTGGAGGGGATAAACCAGTCTTGGGATGGTGGTACATGGGCTGGTCTCAGGGGAAGGACGCTGTTCTCTGCTCCCAGCTCACCTGTAGTGCCAGCACTGGGACAGGGACCCTGTGAGAGCAGCCCCCTCACATCTGGGATGAAACACTGTGGTGTGGTCAAGCAGAGAACTTGGGATTCTTTTTGTGAGAGGAACCCTCCCCATCCCAAGTGCATTCCCTGTTTTCCTTATCATCTGGCTGTTGCCTGTTGTTTGTGAGTGCCTGAAGGCTCAGCCCTTCAGCTGCAGAAGGGGATGTGCCCTGTGTAAACATGGCCTGTTATTACTCCCCATTTTCTGGCCAAATGAGGATTAAAAGCTGGAACTGCAGTCTTAGAGCAGGAAGCTTTGGACCTGACAGTCTCACAGGGCTGGTTTGCTCCTTTCCTGACAGTCTATGTTGCTTCCATTAATTTCTGCTCATTGCTGATTTTCCCTGCTTGTGTTTCTCTCCATGGGCAGAGACCATGAGAGCAGCTGTGATTACCGGCCCGTGCGCTGCCCCAACAACCCCAGCTGCCCTCCTCTCCTCAAAATGAACCTGGAGGCACACCTGAAGGAGTGTGAGCACATCAAGTGTCCCCACTCCAAGTACGGGTAAGGACTTGATGCTTTTGAGTGGGGAGAGTGCACTGAGGTAATTCCTGAGCTGCCTTTTGGTCACTGCAGCCTTGGGGTGGCCCCAAGGACTCTGAGCAGCTCTCCTGAGGCTGAGCTCAGGATCACAGGTTGCAGGAGGCAGCCCCTGAACCCCTCTCCTGGTGAGAAAAGGCAGGTCACGGTGCCCAGGTGTGAGCCCAGGAGGAGGGTGAGGTGTGAGGAGGCAGAAGAACTGCTGAGGGACAGTCAGAGCATGAAGGGAGGAGGATGAGTACAAGAGTAATTCGAGCTCTGTGGCAGTGTCTTACCAACCAGGGATGATCTGCCCCAGAGGGTTCACTGTCACCAGAGCAGGGGGACAGCTCAGGGTGGGGGTTCCCTGCTTGGCTTACTGTTGCAGGAGGAGGGTTCACACAAAGGGTTGTCCAGCCAACCACCCAGGGCAGTGGTGGAATCACAATCCCTGGAGGGACTTAAAAGCTGGTGTGGCAGCTGGGGACATGGGCTAGTGGTGGGCTTGGCAGTGCTGTGGGAATGGTTGGACTCAGTGGTCTCAGAGGCTTTTTCCAGCCTCAGCAATTCTATGATTCTATGATCCTAAGACATGTCTTGGCAGAGGCAGAGTAAGACAAGTCCTGGCAGAGCATCCCTGACTCCCTGCCATGCTGCAGGCCCAAGTCAGCATCTGCTGAGGTCAGCTCCAATTTTTTCCACTGATTTTGGTGCTCCTGGTGAGCACATAAACTGACACCACACTGTCTCTTGCCCAAGATCTGCTTTTCCTTGCAACTACCCAGTCTGGTTTGGGGCCAATGCTCTGGCTGGAAGAACAGGAGCTGCTTGGCCTCCATGTTGCCCTGCAGTTGCCTGCACCCAGCAGGATCATGGGATCATTAAGGTTGGAAAAGACCTCCAAGATTATTGAATCCCTCCTTTGAAGGATAATGGACCACACTAGCCCTGCTCCTGGTGGGAAGAGCAGGACAGCCTGGGAGCCACACAGGCCTTGGAGCTCCAGTGGGGAGCCAGCTGAGCAAGGAGTCTCCATGGGAGCCCTGCTCCAGCCAGCCTCTGCCTTCCCTTCAGGTGCACATTCATAGGGAACCAAGACACTTATGAGACCCACCTGGAGACGTGCAAGTTCGAGGGTCTGAAGGAGTTCCTGCAGCAGACAGACGATCGCTTCCATGAGATGCAGGTGGCCATGGCCCAGAAGGACCAGGAAATTGCCTTCCTGCGCTCCATGCTGGGGAAGCTCTCTGAGAAAATCGACCAGCTGGAGAAGAACCTGGAGCTGAAGTTTGGTGAGTCTGCACTGGACGAGCTCTCTGGGCAGAGCTGTAGGGACAGGGAAGCTCTTTGTTTGGATGATGCATTAACAGGTCTCATTCCACGTTTAAAACTGGTGCTGAGCAGGTTTCAGGAGGTTCAGATATTCCTTGCACAGGGACAAATAGGGGTTCCATTGACTTTGCTGCCAGAACATCCTGGGACCTAATCCTGCAGTCACTGGTCACATGGCCAGTCCTAGAGATGTCTACAGGCAGCTGCCACCTTTCTCCTGTGGCTTCTTCCTGTGCAGTCCTGGGCACAGGCCCCTGTAAAAATCAGAGAGTCAAATAGCCAACAGTGCAGCCATGCTGGAGTGAGCAGGGCTCTCGAACACCTCTGCTCTGCCAGCCCTGTCCTGCTCCCAGATTTACTGGTTCTTCAGCATCCAGGTACAACTTCCACTTGAGGAGCAGGCACCCTCCTGCTTTCCTGGCCGATAGCAGCAGTGTGTCCTCCCTCCATGGTCAGAGGCTGGGTGGCAGTTGGGTGTCCTCTGCCTGTTCCCTGGGATGCCTTCAGTGGCTCTGCAGTGACTGTGGGCCTGTCCTTCTCTTGTAGACGTTCTGGACGAGAACCAGAGCAAGCTGAGCGAGGACCTGATGGAATTCCGCAGGGATGCCTCCATGCTGAATGTGAGGAGGGGCCCTGGGATTGCATGGAGTTAGCTGGCTCTGCTCCTATAGGCTTGTCCTGCAGTGGGAGAAGCTCTGGGGTCTCCCCTGCTTGCTGGCTCTGCTCACCCCAGGTTTGGTTTGCCTTTGCTGCAGTTGAGGTCTGGGGGAGGGTTTGAGTTAGAGGCAGCCCCATGAGCATGTGCTGGTCACAGCATCTAAGCTGCTGCTGGAGCTGGCTCTGCTGCCTTTTCTCAGCCTGTTGTTGCTCTGGGAATGGGTTAGCAGAGGAAAGGAGTCCTGCAGCAAGGGAAGAACCCTCTGCTCCAAAGCCTGGGCCTTTTACACTTGCCAGGGACACCGTACCCTTCTCCCTGCTTGTGGAAAGCTCACAGGGCTTGTTCTGTTTTTCAGGATGAGCTCTCACACATCAATGCTCGGCTCAACACGGGCATCCTCGGATGTGAGTACCCCTGTGGGCTCCCTCCCCTGGGGCTGGGTGTGGGTGGTGGCCCAGGGAGCCCTTTTGGGCGGTGCTTACAGGAGTGCAGAGGAACAGCACTGTCCTCACACCTCTCACCTGCCCTCTCCTTTCTGCAGCTTATGATCCACAGCAGATCTTCAAGTGCAAGGGGACCTTTGTGGGCCACCAGGGCCCCGTGTGGTGTTTGTGTGTGTACTCCATAGGAGACTTGCTCTTCAGTGGCTCCTCAGACAAAACCATTAAGGTAAGAGCTTGTCTCTTCCGTGCACCTTCTGCACTGTCACGTGGGAGAGAAGCTGAGTTCAGTTTGTGGGGTTGGGGGGATGTCACTTCCTAAACTTTCTCCCAGAGAATCTTAAATGATTCTTTGTGATTATAGTTGGGCAAAAGTTCTCTGCGAGGAAACATTACTTGATGGTGAAATTGAGAGTACGAGTTATTTTTGCAAAGCCCAGATTAGAATCTCATTCCTGCTGCTGCTGGATTTGCTTTATGTGGTGTTTAGGGTATTCAAGCCTATTTCAGCTTCTGATTTTATTTTCCTTTGTTGTAAAAAGTCATCTTAGAACAAAGCATTTGTCCCTGATCCAATGTGTCCTTTTCCCATTTTATGGCGTGTTTGTTTTCCTTTGTCCTGTTTGCAGTAACTCAAACTGACAGCACTGCTCTGGTGCAGCCTAAACAGCCCTTCCCAGTGCCACTGTGGTGGCTGCTGGCTGGGCAGGGGACCCCCATGGGCTGCCAGACTAATCCTGCCAGAAGCAGAGCTTTGGTTTAGTTTCCTTGGTCTTAGAGCCACATGGAAGAAAACAGATATTGTTGTACTTTAGGGAAAGAGAACTCCCCTGTCCTGGCTGCACATTCCTTCCTGAGAGAGCAGAGTGTGCTCAGGGGGAAACCTTTGCAGTGGCAGAGGAGGCTGTGCTGTGCCACTGGAGCCCTGGGACAGGGTGGGAATTGCTGAAGCAGGAGCCTGAGAGCTGCTCCTCTGGTTCAGTGTGTTTGAGGAGGACAGGGCTGCAGAGGGCTGATACCTGCTGCTGGCCTGGGTCTCACTGGCTTCAGCCTGACCCTTTGCAGTAGATTTCCTTTCCCAGACAAGTGTATCCGTGCCCAGGGCCCGGCAGGCAGTGCCCAGGTGACAGACAGCCTGTTTCCTCCTTCCGCTGCTGACATCCTGCCCGCTCCCCAACTCCTGCCTTGTGTTTCCTGTTAGGTGTGGGATACCTGTACCACATACAAGTGCCAAAAGACCTTGGAGGGTCATGATGGAATTGTACTGGCTCTCTGCATCCAGGGGTGAGTGGAGAGGGACATCTGCCCCTGGGAAGAGCAGGGCAGAGCATGGGGGCTCCTGAGCATGCCCTGACAGTTCCCATCCTCTGTCCTGCACGGGCCAAAAATGTGCATGAGAGGCACATCTTGCCTCTTTGCTTTTTAAAAACGGACAAAGCAGCATCTTTCTGGCATCCCCTGTGTCCTGGCTGTGTCCCTGGTCACCAGCAGGGTGCTTGGCCTCCTGCTCCAAGGGCCAGTCCAGCCTGGCCTCCCACAAGCCAGGAGCCCCGCTCTTGGGGTGGGCATGTCCCAGTGAGGCTGTGGGGCTGCAGCTCCTGGCCCAGACGGTGCCTGGGGATGAGCTGGGACCCTGCACATGGCTCTGTCCTTCCCTGACCCCCCTTTGTCTTCTGGTGACATTCCAGGAACAAGCTGTACAGTGGCTCTGCTGACTGCACCATCATTGTGAGTACCCAGACCCCGCTCTGCAGCCGGGATGGGAGAGCCACAGGCTGCTCACGAGCAGGGACCTTCTTCTGGAAGGCTCTTCAGCTGCCAGTGGTGTGGGACTGAAAACCTGTGTGTGCTGTATCCACTGCCTTCAGCCAAGTCACTCATGGGTTGGATTGGGGGGTTTCCTGCAGGCTGGATTTCCCAGTCCCTGCTCCTGTGTGGGGAGCAGGAGGCTGGTGCTGTGAGGTGGGACAGGGTGATTGGTCCTGGTCAGCCAGGACAGTGGCTCAGATGAGTGCCCTGTCCTACCTGTATGTCATTCCCTGCCTCCAGAGGCAGAGAGGAAGGGCCTCAGCACAAGGGACCTGCCCTGCCCCTCATGGGTGCTCCTGCTTAGTGGGTTTGGCAGTGCTGGAGGAAGGGTTGGCCTCGATGATCTCAGAGGGCTCTTCCCATCTAAACCATTCCGTGATTCTGTGATTGTCCTTTGCAGGTCTGGGATATTCAAAACCTGCAGAAGGTGAACACGATCCGAGCACACGACAATCCTGTTTGCACTTTGGTCTCCTCACACAACATGCTCTTCAGCGGCTCCCTCAAAGCCATCAAGGTACAGCTCAGGGGGCTCCTCCGGGGCTGGTGTGGGACCAAGGGTACAAACTGTCAGGCAGAAGTGTCCAAACAGGAAGGAAGTGGCATTTTGGTCTGTAGGTGACCTTGTTGCTATGCTCTCATGAGCCACAGAGAAGCCAGCACTGCAGAGGTTTAGCCCATGCTCTGCAATCAAGTCAAAGGTGTTCTGGGACCTGGCTGCAAAAATACTTTATTTCTTCTAACTCTGTAAACCTGAGCCTGCAGGTGGAGTATCCTGGCAGTTCCCAAGTGTGTGTGTCCTCGGGCCCCCAACAGACCTGTTCAGACCATTAGGAATCATGTCTGGGCTCCAGAATTGGCTGGGGATTCAGGCTGCCTGTTTTGAAACCGCCTCCAAAGGATCTTGAGTCTGCATTCTCTACCTAAAACATGCAGAAATCAGGGAACAGCTTTGCAAGCTGCCCTTTAAAGCCTTGGCTGGATTCCCATGGTTCTGCTTCCAGCTCCTGGTGAGGCAGCTTATGGGCCCGTCCATCTGTAAGAGGATGTGTGCTCTTTTCTTTAACTGGGGCCTGCACTGGTTCAGCTCTGGAGAGAGCTCAGGGCTGGGGGAGCAGCCAGACTGAGCAGAAGGAGAATATGGGGCCTTTTGGGTTTGCCATCCCCAGCCACTTCCTGCCAGATGAGCTGAGCAGGCCAGGAGTGCTGCTCAGAGTGGGGACTGAGATCTGTCAGTCCCTGCGTGCCAGGGGCTGGGAGTGGGAGCTCAGGGCAGTTCCTTACTGCAGCTGTGGTTTAGGTTTTCAAGCCCATGGCTGTGCTAGGGAAGGGTCTCTGCCAGCAGTAATGCAGTCTCCAGGCTGGCTCCCTCAGGGAACCTGCTGACTCAGCAGCTGTGTTTTATCTGCACATCCGTGGGTTCAGGCCATTCCCAGCGGGCAGCAGAGCTGGCACAAGGATCCCCACAGAAGCTGTGAGGGCCTCTGGAGGGGTGGGGAGCACTGGCCTTGTTCTGCCCAGCCCCCCTGGGATTCTCCTCCATGTCTGTGTGTGTCTGTGCTTTCTACAGGTCTGGGATATTGTAGGTACCGAGCTCAAGCTGAAGAAGGAGCTGACAGGTCTCAATCACTGGGTGCGAGCGCTGGTGGCTTCCCAGAACTATCTGTACAGCGGATCCTACCAGACCATCAAGGTGGGGCCCTGGCACTGGTGGGACCCAGCGGCTCTCCCTGTGCCCCTCTGTGCTCTGCAGCCTGGCCTGGAGGAGCAGGACGAGGCAGCTGCTGAGATCTGAGAGGACTGCTGGCATGGGATGACTGACATGGGATTCTCCCGTGCTGATTGCATCTCTGCAGGCTGGGCCTTGGGAGCTGCTGGGGAGGCTCGCTGGGATAAACTGGGCCCTCAGCCCTGGCGCCTCTGCGGCTGCCGCAGCCTTATCTGTGCTCCCACTCCTGCTGATAACAGGGCAAGGTCACTGTCTGGCTGCAGAGTTACCATAAATCTGTGAGGGTTCCCAGTGCCCTCCCCACTCTGTGCTGGCTCAGGTTTTGATGAATACTTCACCTCTCAGCATCTGGGGGACACAGAACTGGAAGTCGCCCTCCTCCGTGCTAATAAATCCCTGGTAATTTGTCTGCACCAGGTTTTAGTGCTATCAAGGAGTGGGTTGTGTGTGCACATGTGTGTGTAGTCATACACACAGGGTGAGCAGTCTCCAAAACGTTTTCAGCCTGGATGTTCAAAGCTGGGCAGCCAATTAAGACAGCATGGCTTTGCTCATCATCAGTTCTGAACATTCCCAGCTGGATAGATTTGTCCTTGAAGGTGTGATCTGGGCACACACGGAGCCAGGCTGACTCAGTGCGTGGCAGAATGGCTGCAAGAGATCTCACCCCTGGAGAGGGGTCCCTGCACGGGTCTCATCCTGCCTTTGCTCCGGTGTCTCCTTCAGATCTGGGACATCCGCAACCTGGAGTGTGTGCACGTGCTGCAGACGTCCGGGGGCAGCGTGTACTCCATCGCCGTGACCAACCACCACATCGTGTGCGGCACCTACGAGAACCTCATCCACGTAAGGAGCGGCTGGGATGCGTTCCTGGCAGTGGGGCTGGGGCACAGGGGCTTGGAGATGGGCACCTGGCCCTGCCTGTCCCCTCTGGCACACCTGGAGCGGGGGGCACAGCACCCACCCTGGAGGTGGAGGTGGAAACACCTCTCGGAGGAGAGGGCGGTGGCCTCATCCCGGCACAGCCCCGAGCCCAGCTCTTCCCCCGCAGGTGTGGGATATAGAGACAAAGGAACAGGTCCGCACGCTGACGGGGCACGTGGGGACAGTCTATGCCCTCGCTGTCATCTCCACACCAGATCAAACCAAAGTCTTCAGCGCATCGTACGACCGGTCGCTCAGGGTACGTGTGCGGGGCCGGGCAGCTGCCCACGGCAGTCTGTGACAATGGGGGATCCCCACAGACAGGGATCCCCATCCCTCGGTGTGGCACCTGCCTCGGAGCCTGTGGCGTGAGATCCCCCTTCCCTGCCGGTGCTGCGGGTTGTGGCGCTGGCTGGGCTGACGCCCGCCGTGTCCCCTCAGGTGTGGAGCATGGACAACATGATCTGCACCCAGACGCTGCTGCGGCACCAGGGCAGCGTCACCGCCCTCGCCGTGTCCCGCGGCCGCCTCTTCTCCGGCGCTGTGGACAGCACTGTAAAGGTGGGTTACCCCAGCCTGCTCCAGGGTGGGGTGTGCTCTTCCACTGCTGGAATTGGGGCACTAAATGAGTCAGGAATTGTTTTCAAACAGACTGACAGGAGGTTGTAGCAAGGTGGGGGTCAGCCTTTTCTCCCAGGCAGCAAGTGACAGGACAAGAAGCTGTGCTAGAGGAGGTTCAAGTTGGACATCAGGAAGAATTTCTTTCGCTGAAAGGGTTGTTAAACACTGGAATGGGCTGTCCAGGGAGGTGTCCAAGAAATGACTGGACATGGCACTCAGTGCCCTGGACTGCGTGACAAGGTGGGGATCGGGCACAGGGTGGACTCCATGGTCTCAGAGGTCTTTTCCAACTAAATGGTTGTGGGGTTCTGTGACATGAGGGGGTGGTTCTCAACGGGTGGGAGGCTTCAGTCCTGGCAGGGTGTTGTGGATGCTGGCAGCCCAAAGGGAGGTGCTGTGGGAGGATGAAGAGAAGCCCCCAGAGCTGCTCTGGAGTCACTGCCATGGGTTCCCTTGTCTCCGCAGGTCTGGACATGCTAGTGAGAGCGTCACACTAGTCCTGCACACTGAAAGACCAAAAACTCTCCCCTCCATCGGCCTGTGGGTGGCCACATCCTCTGAAATGACTGCTGCAGCTCCTCCTGCACCAACCACTGCCTGCTGCTGCCCCTGGGCCGGCCCCCCCGCAGGGATCCTGGCTGGCGGCTCTCCCGACGGGTCTGCCCTATGGATGCTCCAGACGTTCCCCCAGACCTACCTTCGATGATTGGAAAAGCAGAGGAAGCAATTCCAGTGCCAGTTCCCTCCTCTGCCTGCGTCCCCCCAGCTGGGGACACCCCCTGGGGCCAGGGCTGGGGTGACTCTGGGCCCCGGGCCGGGCGAGTGCAGCCCTTGGCCAGTGACGGGACTGGACGGGTCAGCGTGCCCCAGTGGTGACACTGGGAGGCTGCTCCTCTGGCCATGGTAGGACTGAGCATTAGGGCCTGCCCTGGGTGGGCACCCGACCCCTTTCTGTCTCTAGTATTTAATTTTACTGCCAAGGCGCCGGGCCGACCCATCCAGGAAGAGGTGTTTCCTTGAGTAGCCAGGTACGATTTTTATGCCACAGCTAGTTCTCAAATCAAGTTCCACAAGCCCATTGTTCACCACCCTGTAATAATGGTCTCCACATTAAAGACAAAAAGCCTCCGTTGCATTTTTACTCACATTTTCTACTGTTTTTAAGATTGTAATATAGATTTGATTATTTCTTCATTGACAATAAAAGCAGAAAGAGTTGTTCCTGCCCAGCGTGAGTTATTGCAGGGAGCCAGCGACCAGCACTGGCCCTGTGGGGTGAAAATTGGGATGCAGGGACCAGGCACCTGACAGCAGCTCCCAGCCAGCCAGGCCCCAGCACCCCACAGAGGCACCCAAGGGTGCCCTCGGACCGTGCAGCACAAACCCCCCACACAACACCGAACACCCGGCATGACAACCACGCCACGAGGACTCGGGATGCTCTGGGGACACAAAACAGTGGTGGCAGCCCGGCAGGGGTTTTATTTTTTTTATTTTTCTTTAAATATTGGTTGCCAGACTTGGTATAGGAGCAAACGTCTTCACAGCACCACGAGCCATCTACTATTCAGAATAGGAAGAATAAGGACGAGTAGAGGTGAAATCTAAGCACAGAAGAGCAGGGAGCAGCACCAAGATGCAGAGCTGGACAGATGGGATACAATACAGAGTCCATAACTTAATAATAAAAAATATATATATGTATATATCCATCATGTAGAACTTTATGGATTTTTTTTTTTTTAGATACATATTTGTTTTTATTTTCAACAGATATTTTCAGGCGGGTGATTTTATTTTTTTTTTAATTATTTTTAAAGTCTTTTTTGTTTGTTTTTGATTTTTTGTGGTTTTTTTTAAAAGAAATTTCAAAGTTGTGCCAAACACATCTGGATCAGCGACCACAACGGGAGAGACAGGGAGAGAGGGAAGGGGGGAGAGGGAAGAGGGCAGAGGGAAGGGGGGAGAGACCACTCTACGTCTCAAGAAAAGAAAGGAACAGCAACACTTTTGTTTGGAAACCACAAGCAAAAAATGCATTCATCAGGACTCAAGCGACTGAACCAGACTCCAACTCCAGTTTATACAGGAATATACAGCGGTGCATCCCGGAGGACGCACGCGAGCACACGCACCCCGCGTGCACACCCACGCACACCACACACACCCCAAACAAATACCGACGGCAAAAACAACCAGGAGAAACGGAACCAAACCCCGAAGACACTCCAAAAGAAATGAAACACCTCCAGTGTAAGAATTAACAAAAACCTCCATAAAACAAGGCACATCCTTTGAGTTCGTAACGGTGGAAAAAGAAAGACGCGACACTGAATCCCAACGGAAAACCCGACCAGAACCGCTCGCACGTACCTTCCACCCAGAGAAAAGGTAAATATTGTGCTACTCGTAGAATGAGTTTGCCACAAGACACACAGCTTAGTATAATCTAATAGTTTTTCTCAAGCTAAAATCCAGTTTTCTCTTGATTTCTTTTAAACTGCTTTATATATAATTGCTAATATTTTAAAATCTTTTAAATATATATTTGTTAAAGTTTATTTCTTTTTATTATTTTGGGGGTGGGGAAAATCTGCTTTATATCTTTTTTTTTTTTTAATTATTATTTTTTTTCCCCCTCCAATAAATTAATACTTCTTTTATAGCTTATCACCGTCCTGTCCCCGGGCGGGGAGGGGCCGGGCAGGGGCACGTCCTGCTGCCCCCGGGGAGCCGCCAGCCCGGAGCTGCCCTGGCCGCCCCCGCCAACCCCAACCGAGAAAGAAAACAAAGTTTAAAAAATAAAATTAAAAACGGAGCAAAGAAACCCAAGTGCATTTGCCCACCCGGTCCCGCCACCTGCAAACGCCATCAGTGCCACGTGGCTGGCGGAGCCACTGCCGGGGCCGCCGGGCAGGGCTTGTGCTACATTCGGGTCGCGGTGACCCGCGGCGCCAGGGCTGGCAGGGCACGGGTGGCCACCAGACAGGGAGGTCGGGAGCCCCCCCAGAGCCTCCCAGAGCCCCGGCAGCGGTTCGGTCCGGACGTGTTGCTTTGTTTCTTCTGTTGGGTTTTATTTTTGTGGGTTTTGTTGTTGTTTTTTTTTGCTTCTGCAAAAGGGAGTCCTGCCGGAGCCGGCGCCGAGTCCGTGAGCACAATCCTGAGGTATCTTCTTCTTTGTGCAAACCCCGAGGGACGGGATGTCCGGGAGGGGACGGCTGTACAGAGGGGACGGGGGGAGGGCGGCGGGGCCGGGGGGTCGTGGATCGTTGTGCCCTTGTGCCCACGTAAGCCCTGAGGTTCGCGGGGCCCTGGCGCCCCTCACTCCAGCATGGCATCCAGCTGGTCCGCCAGGTCGTCGAACATGCTGCCGATGTCGTCCAGGATGCTCACGGTGCTCTTTGACTCCACGGCCGAGCTGGGGAGTGACCGGGACAGATCAGGGCCACACACAGGATGAGGACACCACACAGCCCCCGCCACGCCGTGCCACAGCCCTCCTGCCCCACTGCCGTGCTCAGCACTGTGCCCCAGTGTCACTGCCCACACAGACCGCAGTGCTGCTACACAGCGGTCTGGCTCAATGTCCCCAGTGTCCCCTCTCCAAGGCAGCCCCCAGTGCACCCGCATGCCCACACTGCTCCATCACGGTGTCCCCCAACGTCACCTCCCCAGTGCAGCTCCAGAGAAGGTCCCTGATGCTCCACCACTGTCCCCAAGAATCCCTCCTGGCACCATCCTACTCCCACCACAGGGCCACATCCCAATCCCTGCCCGCAGTGCTTGTGGCCTCCTGTGCTCAGTGGCACAGCACAGTCCCGCACCCTCCCCGTGGACCAACCACCCCCTGTAACCCCTTACTCTGCCTGACTGTCCTCCTGCTTGATCTTCTCCTCCACGGCCTGCAGCGCGGCAGCCAGGGACGCGCTCGTCTCCTCCAGCTTCTGCTGCGCCAGCTCGGGGCCGGCGCTGTCCACAGAGGGGCTGGCGATGGTGGAGCGCGGCGGCTTCACCGGCACCTGCTGGGGCTGCGCGCCGGGCGAGAGGGGCTTGGCAGGGCTGGAGCAGAGCGAGGGCGGGGTGCTGGAGGGCTTGCTGCCCGCGGGGCCCAGCTGCCGGGCGGGCGACGGGGCTGGCGTGGAGCTGGCGCTCACCGACTGGATGGCGGCGTGGGGCTTGGGGGGCTTGGGCGCCGTGGGGGGCGGCGTGGGCTTGGGGGACACCGGGGGCGGCGTGCCATGGACCCGCTTCACCTCTGTGGAGAAAAGGGACAGGGGCAGGAGGGCGGCAGGGCCAGCTGGGACCCCCGGCCTCCGCCCCGGGGAGTGCCTGTCCCAGGGATCTGGTGGGGCACCTACCTGGGCTGCCGGGGCTCGGGATGGGCACCTTTTTGGGGACGGGCACTGGCGGCCCAGGCACCTTCTGTGGTGGCTGCGTCAGCACGGGCTTGGGGGACACCGGTGGCTTGAAGGGCTTCTTGGGCTCGGCAGGTGGTGGGATGTAGTCGGGGCCGTCGGAGCGGGCGGCAGGCGGCAGGGTCGGGGGTGGCTCAGCCCCGCTCAGCTCGGAGGCCGGCCGCCGCTTCACGGTGCCGGTGCCGTTCTGGTACACGGCGAGTGTGGCCGGCTCCAGCGCCGGCTCCTTGTCCTTGGCCTTGGGCCGGCGCTTGACGGTGTCGGACTCGGTGAGGACGAAGCGGACGCCGTCCTGCTGGCTCTGCCTGGCCCGGATCCGCCGCTTGAGTGTGGCACTGGCCTCCACCTTGGCCAACTCCCCGTGGCGGTGGGCTGGGGACAGCCCCTCACTCGCCTCCCCCCGGGCTGGCCCCAGGGGCCTCGGCCGCTGCTTGATGGTGAGGGTGCCCTCCTCGGCGAAGGGGATGCCGTCGGGGGAACCGCCGCGCTCCACCCGCAGCCGCTCGCCGGGGCTGTCGGCACCCGCCTCCGACCGCACGCTGTCGGCGCGCTCGCGGCGGGCGGCTGCCACCAGCCCGGTGACAGGGCCGCTGATGGTCCGGCGCCGGTTCACCACCTCCCCGTCCAGCCCGATGGCCTCCTTGTGCTTCACGGTGGCCAGCACGGTGGCCACACGGGCACGGTCGGGGCTGCCCGGCGGGGGCCCCGGTTGCAGGTAGTAGCCGTCGGGTGCCTTGGCCGGCCCAGGCCCACCGGCCACGTGCGGTTTCTGCAGGGCCAGCGCGCGGGCCCCGCCGCCGATGGAGGACATCTCCAGCATGGCCGCGATGCTGCGCACGCTGCCGGCGCTGCCCGTGTCCACGCTGCCGCCCAGGTCGCTGGCCCGCCGCTGCTCCCGCCGGCTCTCCCCCTCAGCGCTCGGGGGTCCGACGGCCGCCTCGCCCTCACCCTCCTTGGGGAAGTCCTCAGCCATGCCGGCGCTGGAGATGGCGGAGCTGGAGCGCTTGGGAGGGGGTGGGGGGGGTCCCTTCTTCTTGGGACGGACGGCGAAGGACTGGCTGCGGTTGACGTTCTTGTCTCCACCGGCGGCCGCCCGCACTGAGTGGCTGCGGCCCACGCGCCGCTGGACGGTGGCGTAGGGCCCCGCGTCCGGCACCAGCAGCTCGTCCCGCTCCTGCTCGCTGTCGGAGGCGGCGTAGCGGTTCAGGCTGTGTGCCCGCTTCTTCGGCCTCCCCGGCTCCTCCTCGCCCTCGCTCGCCGGAGGCAGGCACAGCACCGGTACCGAGACGGGCAGGACGGGCACGCCCGGCGGTGCCCCCTCGCCCTCGGCAGGCTGCGGCAGGACGTAGGCGAAGCCGCGGTGGGTGGGTGACTGGGGCAGGGAGCGGGGTGATGCGGGGCGCTCGCCGGGCGGCAGCAGCTGCGGGGTGGGTTTCACCTTGGCGGTGGCGTGGGGCACAGCTGGCCCTTGTGGGGAGGGGGGCCGCGCCTTGCCAGGGGTCTGTGGCGGCGTCAGCTGCCCAGTGGAGGGCGGGAAGGGCTGCCGGGGTTTGCCGGGCACCGGTGGCACGCTGGCACGCTTCACGGGGTGGCCGTGCCGGGGCGGGCGCCCCTCCTTGGCTGGCGCAGGTGGGCCCTCACCGGCCCCCTCCGCCAGGTATTCCTGGCTCTTGGAGATGGCAGTGGCAGGGGGACCCCGCGGGCCGTCCCCCAGCAGCTCCTGGGAGCTGCTCATCAGCCTGGCACGGCCACCCAGGCCCGGCGGCGAGCGGTAACCAGGGGCCGCGGCGTTCACCCCCTTC